TTCATAATGACTTTGGGACAGAGTGTAGCCGGAGATGTGGCTCATGGTGATGAACAAAAACGATTTGTTAAAGGAGAGAAGAAGAAGAGGAGCATTGAGATCAAACCAAAAGAAGAACAGGAGGATGGAGAGGGAGGAATCCAACATTTAGGGAGACAAATTATCTCTGTCAGACCACAAAACTCCTGTAAAACATTTGATTGCAGCCATAACATTTCAGGAACTCCAGGAAAGGTTTGACATTAAGTGATATGAATTCTTAAATGTGAATTATTTTGCACAGATTCACAGCAGCCCCTGCCCGCTCATATCTCACCCCTCTGTTCAGGTATTAGTCATCCGAGCAGCCGAGATGATTCACAATCTCTGGAGTCAAACCTGAAAATGTTCCACAGCAGGATGTCTAAATAAAGACTCACGCTTTCAAAAAATACCCCAACATGTTCCTCGACACAGAAGCAACCGTCAGACAAGTTCAAGCAGAGTTTAGATCTAAATATAACCTGTTGATGCATTTACTGTAGAGATAAATCCTAAAATTATGTTTCAAGTAAATAAGGAGGAAGTGTGATATTATGTCTACATGTTTATTCAGATTGATGTTATTCTAGAAAATAATGAACGTCTTTCTTAAAAGGTTGACATGTATGAAAAGACAAACATTAGATTAGAGGATTGATGTGGCTAATTTATGTAAGAGGCTTAAAACCCGACTCAGCTCCAGCTCTCAGCCTGTCGTCATTTCCAACAAGGAGACCACCATTGATGTGCCTCCAAAGCCCCCTGCAAGAACAGAAGGGGGACGTCGCTTAGGCTTTGTCCATTCATATTTACAGTCTACTGGTAAATACCCGTTTTCATGTTTTCAGAGTGAGAATCTGTCTCACAATAACGGGATCTACTGTTTGGACCAGTTACTAATCATCTCTAAGTCAAGATTAAACGAGTCAAATAACGTTCATAAATGATCTAATATTCTGTCTTTGTTCTGCTGCCCGTTGTTCAGTTTATGTTGGGACAGGAAGCCGGCCTGGTCCAGGGACACGTACTGCATTTCACTGTTTAGCCTCCTCACATTCTCAGCTGTAACCACAGAACACTTTAATCAGGGTTTAGTGAGACAGGAGCTCTCTGCAACGACCGCCATCACAGACTCGGACACCTGCTGTATGACAGAAACAAGCGTGCATACATGACATTCCCTCTTTATTCCCCTCTGATGTCTTTCTGTTGCACTTACTTTGCATCATATTCTGTTTTTAGTTCATATCATGCTTTAGGGCAGACAGAGAAGTCAATGTGGTGTCCAGCTGACGTCTTGTGTTGACGGACGTTCAGGACTCTCTGTGGCACTAAGAGCAGCAGTTGTTTGACTCCGCCCCCTTAAAGAGCGGGCACAGAACTCAGTTAAACTCTGACACATGTCGGCCTGGTATGTGGGAGCTGGAGGAAGGGATGCCTTGTTGAATAAAGACTACAGAATCTGCTATTACACTGCTGATAAGATTAACCTCCTGTTTGTCTGCTGCCGAGTGAATAACTCTCAGAGTGTAGTCCAGATCTATAAATAAATAGATTCAATAAATTCAATAAATAGATTATCTCTCTAAACACAACTACCACCCTGTAAGGTATGTTTTTTTATATGATACATTTTAATTTCATATTTAAGATATCTTGTACTGTTTGGGATCCATCCATCCATTGGTCTAACCATCCATTTCTCCATCTATCCATCCTTTTTTCTTTGAATCCAGCCATCATCCATCTTTCCACCGTTCCATTCCTCATCCATCATCTCTTCCACCAATCAATCTATCCATCAATCCATCCATCTTCTAAACATTGGTCCATCCATCCATCTCTCCATTTTTTCATTATCCATCCATCATTCCTGTTTGACCATCCATTAATAGTTCCATCATCCATCCATTGGTCCATCCATCAACCATCTTTCCATCGTTAAATCTGTTGATCTATTATTCCATCCATCCTTTTATCCTTCAATCTGTCCATCATTCATTGCATCCATCCAATGGTCCATTTATCCATATCTCATACTTCATTTAATCCATCCAAACCATCCATTTGCGATCAATCATCAATCTTTCAATCCTTCCATCTATGTATTATTCAATCATCCATCCATTCATCAATCTGTTTATCATCCATCCTCAGTTTGATCAATACATTCTTCTTTCTATTTCTCATCCATCCATCCATCCATCTATCAATCCACTGTTCCATTCCTCATCCATTACTCCATCAATCTATCCATTTATTATTCAATCCATCCAACCATTTTTTCATGCATCTGCAATTCATCCATAACTCCATCATCCATTCACTGGTCCATCCATGCGTTTATCTTTCCACAGTTTCATGCATCTTTCAGTCCATCCATACAGTCATCATTCCCCCCATCAACCATCTTTCCAGTTATTCACCCATTGTTCAATCCATCCATTTATCAATCTGTTTATCATCCATCTTCAGATTGATCAATCCATTCTTCTTTCTATTTCTCATCCATCCATTGATCTATCCATCCATCCATCTATTTGTTGTTCCATTCTTCATCCATCAATTTATTTTTCCATTGTTTGTCCATTCATCCATAACTCCATCATTCATACATGGTCCACTCATCCATCCATCCATGTATCTCTCCATCATGCATCAGTATGTCCATTCATTCATTGTTCCATCTAGCCATCCGTTTATCCTTCCACTGTTTCATCCATCATCCCTAAATCATTCATCATTCCCTCCAACAACATCTTTCCATTTATTCACCAATTATTAATCCATTCATTCCATCCATCTCATCCATCATTCAATCAATCTTTCCATCCACTACTTTATCCATCCATCCCTCCATCATTTATTATTCAATGCATCATTATCCGTTCATCAATCTGTTTATCCATCCATCATTCCAGTGATCCATATCTCATCCATATTTCCATCCCTCCAATTGTTATATAATCCATTGTCCATTTTTCATCCATCAGTTTATCCATCCATCTATAGTTCGATCCATTTCTCATCAAACCATTGGTCTATGAATCCATCCATCTAAATGCACTTTTATATTGCCATAGTTCCTCTATTTCCCCCTGAATGTAAACATTTAAAGAAGCATGATGTAATGTTCACATACCCATGATTCTAAAACATACAAGTTTTGTTTTGAGTCCCGCTCAAAGACATATTATATCGGATGAAATTTGTTCATCAAATTCCTATATGTGTCTTGTTCATATCTTTTCTCCTTCATTTCATTTCACTGTCTTTGGCATGCCATGTACTATAAATACATAAATGCTGCCAAAGCAAACAAAGAAAGAAAACATGTAGACTCGTTAGGATGTCAAACAAAATCAGAACATATTGCATATCATATTCCTATCTCACAGGGAACATCGTGTTTATTGAAACATTTATTTCTGGTCTCTTTGAATTGAAAAAAAAGGCTCCATATCCTCAAAATAAATCAATTTATTCAGCACTTTTTGCTAACTTAACATTGTTTGGCTTTTATGTGAAATGTCTGCAGTGTGCCGGCTCCATGAAAGAATAAAATGTGAAGCTCAGCCAAAATAATCACGATATCCACTGTTTTAAATACGCTCCAAGTCTATTTTCAACGGAGCTTGCTGAAAGCACACGTCAAGCTGGGCAGGCTAGATCAACCCAGACAGGAAGTCAGACAAGGAAACGCACAGAAAGACCGGTCAATTTCAAAATAAAACACAATATTATGAACAACAAATCATCCTCAGAAAGACAAAGCAACCTGTTGTTTACATGTTTTTCTCTTTCTTCCCATGGGATCTTGTAGTTCTCCTGTGATCTTGTATTTCTCTTGTGATCTTCTAGTTCTCCTGTGATCTCTTAGTTCTCCTGTGATCTTGTAGTTCTCATTTGATCTTGTAGTTCTCCTGTGATCTTGTAGTTCTTGTGGGATCTTGTATGGCTGTGCTCACCCTCCAGAAATGAGACCAGTGGGGCAGGGCGTGAGCTGTAGGATGGAGCGAAACCATGGCGTTGACTTAACCCAGCACTTACAGACGATGTGTCAGTGATGGAGACTTGTGCATACCTTAAGCTATCATACAAACTGTTAAGATATGTTTTAAGTCACATTGCGATCATTGTTCTTTATTGATCTGATCTTGTTTTGGAAAGTTTGCCCAGAAGAGTCAAAATGCTCTGAATCGTACGGATACAATAACGTAGATCTTGAAAATCAATGGGTATCGACTGATGATGAGATACAGCTCTGGGGACAGAGGCCAACCCTTTGGTCATTCCAGTTTAGCCGGCGGTAAGCGATAATTAACCTCCAGCCAAGACTTCCTCCTCTGTGTGATGCATTCTTTACGGCCCTGTTAGAAATATGAGAAGCAACCCTGTGTTTAGAAAATAATTAAAAGAAAGCAAAATTCTCTACTCCAGGTATGTCTCCAAAATAAACTCTGTCATTTCTTGGTTCATTAAATCCCCCAGAGGAGCGCCCGTCCATCTGTTTGTGGTGAGTCTCAGTTTAACTGTAAATAGTAAGTCACACAGAGCTTCACTCTGGATTACTGCAGAGGTATGAAGCTGAAAAACAAACTCATGTTCTTGTGATTTACTCACATAACAAGTCTGAAGTGATGCAGATTTGTAAAACGTAAAAAGTCAAGTTTTTTGGTCAGGTCTGTCCTCGAGAGGGGAGAAAACAACTTTTAAAATGTCTCAAGGCAAAAAGTGAAACCCCTCACTCCCTCCCTCCTGGCTGTACTCCTCTATCAGCCTCTCTATCTCTCTCCCCCATCCAGCTCTCCCTCTCTCTCTCCCCCTCCTAATGACAGCCAGCCTGGCTGATAGGCAGATATATTTACACTGGTGGCAGGGGAGGAAGAAGTCATCAGCCAGGCCCTGTCCAGCCTCCGGGCTCTGGTGGGCGGGGCTTAGAGGAAACCCTGTCCCGGTAGCCCCTCCCCGAGCGGGGCATATCTGTGTGAGCTGTCCTGGGCCGGCTCAGAGTTCTCAGCTGGATGGAACCACAGCTTCCCCGGCCCCCAGACTCACTCACACACGCGCAGAGAGCAGAGACACAACAAGAGCCAGCCTGTGTGTGTGTGTGTGTGTGTGTGTCTGTGTGTGTGTGTGTTATGAGTTTTTCTCACATCAGTGTTCCTGTAGAGCTGTTGATGAGGCAGGCCGGCTCAGCTCCATCTCATCTCAGTGAGGCGTCCCGAGGCGTTGGCAGGGGTCGAAGTGTGCGCAGCTTCTCGTGTGCTTGACTTTATTTTGTCACTTTTGAACACTGGACCTGTACTGTAAGCATTATGACTCTTCTGGGCTCTGAGCACTCCATACTCATACGAAGCAAGTTTAGATCAGGTAAGAACAACACAGATTGACACTTTTCTTTTCTGTCTGTTCATAAGTGAGCAAGTCTCTGATTAGCCTCACACAGTTTGCATGCCATCACTTGGCGTTTACAGGCGATGCTGCTTCATTATGTCAGTCATCTGTCTTCATGCCTGAGTTGTGTCGACACACTTTGTTCTACAGCAAAGTGACAGGTGTGTAATAAAGTGTGATCACGTGTCCTGTCACAGAGTGATGGATTGGTTTCTTGGGCGTGTTCTGTGATGTTAATGCTCCAACCCGTCCTCGTTAAATCACCAGATGCAGGGTGATGTCCCGGGCAGGTTGGTGCACTTGCTCTGTGCCAGCCTTTAACTTGCTGCAGAGGGGAGCCTGTGAGAGTCTGTGTGCACGCTGATAAAGAGAGATTAGGCAGCGGAGAGGAGTCAGAGGTTATCTTAATAAGGCTGGATTGGAAGCTGATGTTTGTGTGAACGTGGGCATTTCAAAGAGGGAGGAAGGCTGCAGCGCTGATTTAACCTCCCTTTAACACACAGCAGCTGTCAGGTCTTTGTGTTCACACCATTCACACACACACACTCGTTAATTCTCCTATTTCTCACACACACACACACACACACTCTTAGTCTTTATTTTGAACATCTGTGAGGCTCAGTGTGTGTTTGTGAAGTGTGTGTAGTCTGACCAACACTGCCACCTCCCTGAGGAACGTGTAACTGATGGAAGCTCCAAATGCAGCTCTGCAGTCTGAGTCTTTATGTACACGATCGCCCCTGAAAGCAACATTTTTAAAGCAACCGAATGAGCAAACTGGAGGCTGAATCAGCTTCATTCTTACTTTCTGTTTGCCGCTGAGCTGTAATTGCGTTCCAGGGTAAATGATGCTTTTCCTCTGAGTTGTTTAGAGCAGATCGGCAGGGTGGGGAATGACCCCCCAGTGCTCCAGGGAACATGATGAGAGGTGGCGTTCAACAGCAGCAGGAGGTTCAGGTTCTGTGTTGCTCTAACTTAATGCGCTTTAGCTGTTTAATATTTCACAGATGCAGCAATGCTGTCTTCAAAGGTCATCCTCCTACATGTGTGCTTGATGTTACAGTGAGAGGGATTAATGTTCTGCGATATGAACTACAACTGCCCGGCTTGTTGAGTGAATTTATGGGTGCATGCATGAAATGTGGAGCGTCAGAGGAGTACAACTCTGCGTATGATAACTGCTGACAGGAGGAGTCTTAAACAATCAGGTCGTGCAGGATTTACAGTTTTTCTTTAAGACGCAGAAGCTCGAGTTAAACTCTGCACCCCGTGAATTCAGCAACTGTCGAGTATTTTGCGGCGCTCCTGATCTCCGTTGTCGAAGCCATGGGAACTGCTGCTGCACGGTTCAAGCTAAAAGAAAAGATAGCGATCTCATTTGAGCGCTCCCTCTGGACCTCTGAATGTTTTGTGAATGTGTATGTTACTGAACAGTTCTCATGCTGATTTGATTAACAGCTCAAAGGACTGTGGCCCGTGTTCTCGCGCTCGCTGACATAATCGTACTACAGAGGCGTCACATATAGCCTAAGTTAAATCAACAAGGTGTCAACATGTTACAGAGTAAATCACCACACACACACACATACACACACACCTCACTTAAGCCTCACCTGAGTTATGGAGACATATTCTATTTCTAATCTATAAAAACAAACTTTAAAATCAGCTCTCTTGTGGTTCATAAGAAGATTCTTTGCAATAAGTCGCCTTTTTAGATGTCATTTTATTAAGAAATAAGAACAACAAGCCTCTTCTTTCTTGCCTTCTGATTCATCGGTAGAGAAAGAGAGGGGAGTGAACTAGTGAGCTGTGCTGAAAGGATTAAAATAACACAAAACCATCCATGAAGTAGTGTAAGATGATGTTCAACACTGGGAAATAATGAAAACAGAGGCTGGTGTTTACAGAACTAAAAAGCAAGCATACATTTATACATTTCGTTTTATGTCGTTATCTAGAGATGACAACGCTGGTTTTCTAGAGATCTTCAGAAAACAACAGAAATGTACCTGCTAAACTCAGAAAAACTGAGTCAAATCAAACGTTTTGGGTACTTGTCCTCTGAGGGCTTCCATAGTTATTCACCTACAGAGCAGCTACTTTAAGTGTTTGTAACTTCAGTGTGTCAATAATTAAGGAGATATGAGCTGTCATTTGATATTCAAGCGGAAGGACAATATTAATGTTGGACTTGTATTCACCTTTTAATTCATAATAAATATGCACATGAACATCAGGCCTTGTCTTGATATTAAAATAGTTGATATTTGCCTGAGTCCGCTTGCAGCAAGCTCCGTTGAAAAAATAGACTGCGCGTATTTAAAGGGATGCAGAGTGGTGTTTCTTGGCACGCACCGTAAACTGACAATGGAGCGTTGACTAGAGAGAGGGTGTGATCAGATCCGGATTGAGCGGACCACACGGATGCAGTCGAATGATCCACATTGGACTTTCTCGAAGCTGCACACTTACTTTCTCTTACTTTCAGGGCTCTCAAAATAAAAAACAACAAACAGACTCCTGATCGTATGTTCAATCACTTTATCAACATTATGCTTAAACGGGCACCGAGTGAACAAAAAATCAACCTCAGAAAGACAAAGCAACATGTTGTTTGTTGTTCTCTTTATTCACGCGTGATCTTGTAGTTCTCATGAGATCTTGTAGTTCTCATGAGATCTTGTAGTTCTCATGAGATCTTGTAGTTCTCATGAGATCTTGGAGTTCTCATGAAATCTTGTAGTTCTCATGAGATCTTGTGTACCTGTGAGTTCAGCAGCTCATGGCTGTGCTCACACTCCAGGAAGACACCAGTAAGGCAATGCATGCGCTGTAGGACAGAGTAAAACTGTGGTGCTGACGTAACACAGCGCATACAGACTTTGAGGAAATTGCGGTGAGTGGCGGAGCTGGGCGGCAGCGTGTCTCCACCGTCAGAACAACAAGCCTTGTCACGTTAGCTTGTTGCACAAGTTTGTCACACAAAGGTGGAACGTTTTTGCTTTTTCTTTTTCTTCCAACTAAACTCAATACTGAAAAATGTTCAATTAAAAAAGTTTAATTTTGAACCTCGATATAGTCCTGCTAATGACTGATGAGCTTGTGATTGTCCACGTTTTCATAATCTTCATCTTTTTGTTCAAACTATGTAGTGCGGTTCTGAATGGTCTGGATTTGTTTGGACCAGATAAGGTAGGAGGCTTTAAGGCACCCCCACACAGCCGGTTTGGACGCCCCTCGGTTTGCCAGATATGAGAGCAGTTATCAGGTCAAACCAACAGGTGTTGCAGCGATGGAAGCGGGCAAGAGAACTGGTTCAGATAGAAGTGATTGTACCCGACCTAAAAAGCCTCTGCATGTTTCTAATAAGCTCCACGAGCAGAAACGTGCTCAAACTAGGATCAATATTGGAGATGCTTTTGAAAAATGGAGAGAGGTTAGAACACAGAAAGGTTTACAGACCGATGCAGAGCTGGATAAACACTGAAGCTTCAGTGTCCACCACATGGCAACCTGCGTGAGCATCGACTCTGGAGAGGAGGGGGCGGGGGAAGACAGCTCTCTACAATGTTTAGAATTTAGACTGCAGTACCCATTTTAAACACTAGGTTGTCAGAGTTACATAAAGCTCCTTTAAATGTAAGACTTGTGCTGTTTAACATGACTGATAAAGAATAGATGCCCACCGCAGAGCCAATTTAAAAGTTTCTACCTGTGAAATGGTTGTGCTTTTTTTCTGCAACACAAATCTGAATCCGCCGTCTATCCGTCTGTTGACGATCAGTCAGTGTGGACGGAGCCGCTCCAGAAATCTTCACAGTGAAGCTTTAGCTCACAGTCACAAATCTGCCTTTTACTGTCCAAGACCATCGGAATAAATTACACACGTCCTGTTTTAAGGTGGATTTTCACATAATGCTGAGTAATGAGACTTAAATAAACCTAATACTTCATTTGGGAAAACCTGTTTATGAGAAGTTATACAGTCACGCTCGTACATTTGTCCTGAACACATTCCTGGTTTGGCTGAGGGCGAGTTCAGGAGACTTCATGTAGGTCTAAAACACACACGGTCCCTTTAGCTTAGATGTCGGGGGTTAAGTGTGAAAGTGTGGTGTTATTATTAGCCTGTTTCTTTCTCTTGTGGTGGCTGTGAACGTGTTAGAGGCAATAAATCAGATATCACGTCTCTCACTTGTGTAGTTATCGCCACTTCACCAGGTCGAATGATAATTTATTTACACTATAAATCTGAAAACTTGTAAATGTGGCTGTGGATTTGTATGTCCTTTGTTGTCAAGGAACTTCGAGTTAAAACAAATGTCTTCAGTTTCAAAGTCAACATTTGGGGAGGCAGAGTATCGTGCGGTTCAGTGGTCTGTGATTACACCGCCTGGCTCTGGTCCTCCGTCTGCAATCAGGACAGAGAGCGGCATTTTACCAGAAAACACAGATTACATGGCAGCTGCTGCGCTTTTTATACACAACATTATTGATAACTCGTCTGCAAACATAATACAGAGCAGCAGAGATCAGTCCCCTGAGATGAAACCAAAGACCTTCTGCAGAAATATCCAACAGTAACTTTGTCACATCGCTTATTTTCTGACTTGGACGAAACACACGAATGGTTAAAATAAAGAAGACTTACCGTAATGTTAGCTTGTTAGAACATCTGATCTCACAAAGACCTTTTTAAAAACCACAACCTTTTTTCACATCAATACGTTGTGGAGGAGGTACCTTGTTTAAATAACTTGCTGTGGTAACAAACACGTAAGTGCACACCTCAGAAGTATTCAGCATTTCTAACGCCAAGATGACAGTGTTTTTTAAAGTACTTAAGTTAATTAATTGATGTGCTAACATTGGTTAAGAAGGCGACAAAGCCAAATGACAATGTTGACTTTACCAATGAGTAAGATGTTAAGTGAGTGAAATAATAAAGTGACCTTACTATATGGCCAGACATTAAGGAAACATGCTATGTTGAAAAATGGAGAGAGGTTAGAACACAGAAATGTTTACAGACCGATGCAGAGCTGGCTAAACACTGAAGCTTCAGTGTCCACCACATGGCAACCTGCATGAGAATGGACTCTAGAGAGGAGGGGGCGGGGGGAGACAGCTCTCTACAATGTTTAGAATTTGGACTGCATTACCCATTTTTAAACACTAGGTGTCAGAGTTACATATTGCTCCTTTAAATGTAAGCCTCTGCTTTTTAACATGACTGACAAAGAATAGAACCTACAGGGTTGAAAATTGAAGTCGATGCAGGAGTGCAAAATCCTGCATTTCCTCGAGTGTCCACTAGAGGCTGGCTGCAGGAGCACAGGAAGCCACATACACACCCATTCTAAAAAGCCTATTTTTACAGCAGAGATTAACATGTTTACAGCCTGGTTCAAAAAAACAAACAAATAGGTCTGATTAGCTCATCGATCGGCACACACTGTACAGGGGGTGAATGTTTTGATGACTCATCCATTTTGATTTGATGAAGGCCAAGAGTTATCCACAATAAGGCGTGTAGCTGACCTGATTGACAGGTGGGCGCGGTGTAACGGTTTGTCAAGAGGCTTAAAACCCGCCTCAGCTCCAGCTCTCAGCCTGTCGTTATGTTGACTGAAAGTTAGACTGAGACAGAATTTCCAGCTCGGAGACCGCCATTGATGGGACTCCAGCGCACCCTGCAGGAACAGATGGGTGACGTCACTCAGGCTTCATGCTTTAATATTTACAGCTCATGGTTTTGACATATGAAGGCAGCTCTCTCAGAGGCCATGATGCATGCCAGGATAATGCTCGTATGTGTGCAGGACATGAAGCAGGTCTGCATGCTGCTTGACAAGGTAACATCAAATATTCTTTTGGGGGTAAATAGTCTTTCCCATCTTTGCTGTGCTCAAGTTTTGTTTGAAAATAACTAAAGGCCGGTCTCGTGTTGACGCCCGTCCCAAATAAAGGAGGTGTCATTTCATAGGCTGAAGTAAATAAAAGCCCGGTGCTTTTTTATAGAAGCTTTACGGTACATAAAGGATTCAAACCTGCATGTTCTTGTGTCTGTTGTTATTATAGCGGTTGATGAAAACCGTCCATGCATCAGTTACAGGTTCATGGTCAGATTTTAGTCGGACACTAATATCTGCATTTGCTGTCTGTGATGTTTCGACCAGCAGGTCATGACCCCTACTCGCTGTAAACTAAAGCAGATGTTAGATGAAGGGAAGGGCCTGCTGTTACATAACGGAGGTGCTCCCCAACCGAAGAACTCTGATACTCAAACTCTCATATGATTCATCGGCTCAAACCTGGAAGTTCTGGAGAAAATAATAACATTAAGCGAGAATAAAAACCACCTGAGGGCGATATTAAAGTGGAGGGAAGTGATCGAGGAACGTTTCCTACTTGTGCGTCCGTTCCCATCGACAGACGTTCAGATAACAGCGTGGAGCAGAAACACACACAGACACAAACGACAGACACAAGCAGACCAACAGACACGGGGGAGGTTCCGTGTTTATGACCCCTCACTCCCACCTCCACCAATGCTAAACACACACACACACACATTCACAGAAACGTGCAGACCACACACTGCTCGCAGATCTGTTTAAAAGCCAGGAGCTGTTTATCATTCCCTACATCCTGCTCACAGAAATATTTGTGAGCAAGCAGCGTTGTTTTTTTCCTCTATTTTCTGTATGCATTTACACATACATGCTTCTGCTCCTTCACAAAGAGATGGCAGAGCTAGTTTTAAACTTTTTCTAGATCACAGAGTTAAGATTTGAAAAACAGCATTTAAAGTGGCTTGAATTCTGTCTTCTTGCTTTTTTGTCTGTCCCTTACCTGTCTTTGCACTCTCTCTCTCTCTCTCATCTTTCCCCTTCTTTTTTTGCTCTCCCTCTCATCTATCCTCCTCCTCCTCCTCCTCGCTGTAACTCCAGTCCTACAGTTAAGACTTCAGCAGAGGAGGACACGAGAGCAGCTGGCAGACCAAGGCATCATGCCTCGTGAGTAACACCTCCCAACACCGAGCCGCCGTGCATGCAGGCACACACACAAACCACACACACATACAGATCTACACACAAACTCACACGCTTCCATGCTTTTAGACTTCAGTGTGAACCAGACAGGCAGAGGGAAAAGGTGACACATTGGTCATAAAATATACCTTTAACAAAAACTTCTTTTGCTGTTGTTGGATCCAACTTCACGATGCAGATAGTTTGAGATTCATTCATCCAGGTTTCAAAATTTCTGTCCCCAATCAAATGCAAACGAGGTGAAGATGCTCTCACTGCCCACTTAAAGCTGACCATTTGAATAAAATCAGTATAGAAGACACAAAGTAGACTCTTATTACTCAGTTAAGTCTCTGAACATTTGTGCTTTTAGCTACATAATCCTGCACCAGTCAATGCAGGAGCAACATCATCACAGGTTGTAAACCTTTTCTTTTCTAAAGATATTTTTTGGGCCATTTTTGCCTTTATTGGACAGGACAGCTGAAGATAGAGAGGAGAGAGAGCGTGGGGATGACGCCCAGCAGAGCGCAGAGGTCGGATTCAAACCCACGTGTCGCTGTGGTGAGAACTGTAGCCTCTCTACATGGGGCACGCGACATAACCGCTAGGCTATCAGAGCCCCCGTTGTAAACTTTTTCAACATACTCTTATTGTGTTCCGTCAATATTCATCGTTTCACAAGTCTTCTGGCAGATGGTATTCTAAGGCTGTGTGTCCGCATGGCATTTATTTCTGAGCGCCAGCGTCTTTTTTCAAGTAATATCCAACATGCAAAAGTTCTATTTTTAATCGGAGTTATTCCAGCTGGATGGATTGATTTCCAGTCTCTCTTAAAACGGTATCAGTTTAAAAATATCCCTGAGTTGTCTGCGTCCGGCAGTTATTTCCTTTGAATCAGACTATTTGTATCAGAAAGCTGCAGACTCTGGCTCGTTGCCACCGTTTCTTCATACATCATAGTTTGTAATTGATGCACGTTCCTCCCTGAAAAGGGTGTAACCGGAGTCAAACTGCGTTGGAGCTAAAGGTCGACAGAGGAACTCTCTTTGAACAAAAAGAAGAACGACGCTGCAGATTAAAGCTTTTACAGACAGACGGAGACAAACATTCACATGACTGATGCTCCACAGAGAAACTGAACCAGACTCCAGAGACGGATAAATCCAGCTAGTGACAGAAACAGAGGTCCATGGAGAGGGAGCAGGTGGATACAAGACAAAAGGAGAGAGAGCAGACAGACAGGCTATTGTGTAGGCAGAGAGACAGGCAGGTGGAAAGTGAAAGGCAACCTCAACCAGCAGGTACATAATCGGGCAGATAGAACCTACAGACAGACAGGCAGAGAAAACCTGCTGGCAGAGAGACAGGTAGATAAAACCTATAGGCAGAGAGACAACTGATTAACCCTGAAGGCCGAGTGACAACTTGAAGACACTGAGACAGGCAGTGAGACCCATAGTGAAAACCTGCAATCAGAGAGACAAAAGATTAACCCTGGAGGCAGACAGACAAAGAAACGTGTGGGCAGTGAGGCAGGCAGAAAGACAGGCAGATAGCAGATAGACAGGTTGATAAAACTTGCACTCAGACAGGCAGAGAGAACCCTCAGGCAGAGAGACAGGCAGATAGCGTTTACAGCCAGCGAGCAGACAGACAGGTCTGTGAGTGACCGCAGAGGAATGCTCTCGTGCAGCTCGTCCAGATTTACATGTCCCGTACCTGTTTACAGCAGAGTGACACATCAAAGCAGCAACGCGTCTGAACACAACAACATGGAGGCCGAGCTGCCGTTTATAAGAGCCAGGCTTTGTACTCTTAGTGTCACCTACGACAACGTGATGAGAACAAGCAGCGCTGAGCGTACGCAGCGTTCTAACAGTGGCCGTGATTCATGTTGGCTTGTGTTCTGTAGGTCATCGCTGCGCTGTCATGTTTGTGGCTCATGCCAAAGTGTCACACAAATCAATTTATTTTCCTGGATCTTTACATCAGGCATGAAATGCTGACTTTAGAGAATCAATCTGTTCAGCATGAGCTAAAACACAGACAACAGCCATTAAGAATAAGATCTCTCAGGTCTTTATTAGAGCAAAGTCTTGTTGCCGTGGGCAACCAGGGAGCAGTGTGCGACTCCTGTGTGTAGCTTTGTACTCGGCTGCAGGAACAACATAGGGACTGCAGGTCGGGGATTTGTCCAATGATATCTCTGGCACCGTTTGCCATTTCCCAGCGGCTCCAGCCTGCAGATAAACTGCTGGTAAGTGTGCGGGGGAACGGAATCCAGAGGCCCGGCGAGCCTCTATCAGTTTCTGGGAGTCTGTCACAGATAAGGCAGAAAGGAGGAACGTGATTGGCCAGCGGGGCACCAAACGCGCTTTTAAAAAAGAACGTTTCAATTGGTTGTTTATCTGTTGATTGCAGGCGGAGGTACAGATGGAGGAGGGTTGAATTTGTCGGCGCACACTTTCTCACACTGAAACACGAGATGTCTTATCGGCTCGCTGCAGCAGGGTTTCACAAATAACAGGTACTCTGCAGAACTGAAGGGGGCACTTAGGATTTATTTTGATAGTTAATTGTTTAAGCCAATAACCCGCCCCCCCATTAAATGACAATAATTTAAGTCAGTCAGGTGGCATTCGGCTTACAAAATATTCAATACATCCGTCAATGTTTTCAGAATCTGCTCATGATTTGTATGTTAGATTCTTAAAACACAAGACTCAGGGTGTCACAGCATCTTCTTCCTCCTCCTCCTCCTCCTCCTGTAGAGCCCTCGGACGCCGGCTGCTCTGCCCGGCTGTGTTATTCCTGCTGTGGAGATGGACACGGCACACGGTCTGTGTATATATTACCCAGGGAACATCTGGTGTTTATTAGGCTATTGAAGAACACAGCCCAGCCTCTCAGGCCCGGCTGGCGTGTGGCCTGCATGGGAGCACACAGTCTGTCTGCTGGCCACGGGTCTGCACACACACACACACACACACACACACACACACACACACATCTAATATTTCCTCATAAAGATAATAGAGCGGTATCTGCAGGTTTACGGAGCTTTTTCCTGCATAAAAACACATTTTCTTTCGCTCCGCCGCGGTGCTTTAATCCTCTGGGGATGGAAACACAAAGAGAATTATTCCCGCTAATGCACCATACGTCTTCGCTCTCCGTGCACTGTTTACTTCTGACAGATACAGTCAGCAGGTAAATGCATTACAATAGGTTTAAAGTGCGTTGTGTGTTTTAATACTGCTGCAGATTGTTTAAACGTCTGTAAGCCAGCTCCACACTCATCGGATCGGGTTACGCTGCGCCTCAAAGAGACGGAGCAGCGCTCGAACATGTCTTCAGGCAGTTTGACTCCACGGTTTAAACACACTTAGAGCGGCGTGTGTCTTTGTGATGTCAAATCAGCTCTTAAATCAGGTCAGAGAGTGACAGGTGAGGCCGGGGACTCGCTTATAAACACATGATGTCATCCTGCTGGTGGTCATATGGCGTCCTGTGTGCTGTTTACATCTCAGCTGAGGGTTACTTTCCAGAAATGACCTGTATTATCCGTGCAACATACTTGAAAAGGCACAACTTGTTTTTGTAGTCATTATGATAATTACTCTTTCAAAGAGATATTACTAGATAATAATAATAATGTTCAACAACTGTCTTTGCAAAGATGAAGCCCAAAATATCCGACGAGACAAAATTATATCAAGCTAAAAGCTGTTAAAAAACAGTTGTGTGCACCCCATGTATAGATGCTATTACTCCAAGCAGGCGGCCCAGTTCGAAACCTGTGGCTTTTTTCCCGCATGTCATTCCTTACTCTCTCTCTCGCTCTCTCTCCCTGATTTCCGACTCTATCCACTGTCCTGTCTCTCCAATATTGGCACACAAAAAGGCCCCCCCAAAAAAGTGCTTTGTCTCTGGTCACTTCCTGTCAGCCCCTCTGGTCACTTCCTGTCAGCACCTGTGTAAGTTGTTTGTTTGCTCTTCCTGACGTTGTCCCCTCCTCTCTAGATCCTCGCTCATGTTGTTCTTTCTCTCTGATTTTCATCACTTTCGATAAAAGATTCTGATAAATTAAATGTAGAATATTATTTTACTCTTTGTGTGTATAGACAATAAAACGTATCAATTAATTTAATTAGCATTTTCATTCCACATGAAATCAACATCTTTTATTCCCTCCTGTCTTTGCAATATTTGTCCAGAAGTTTCTCTTGTCCGTTATCATGTTTGGAGACTCTGCGTGCTTGAACATGGAAACAGATAATTTTCTTTATGTCGTCTCCACTCATCTCAACCACTGATAACTCTTCTTTTATAGAAGTCGGATTTATGCAGTCATTTTTTCTTTCATCTTTATCCCGAAAGAATCAAGCTAAGTAGATTAAGTAGAAGTTACCAAATTGTCTTACTTACACACTTATCATTAGGGGGATAGAAATGGTAACATTCCTTAACTTAATTTGTGTGTGTGTGCCCACAAACTTCAGGCCCTGCATAAGTCAGAGCCCCAGGTGGGCCACCCCAGTCCAGAGAGTCTGGACACGCCCCTGCCCTTAAGAGAAGTAGGAAAGATTTATTTAGAAAGAGACATTTAGCCTAATATTTGCTGTATTTGGAGATTAAGAATGCTTAATATTGCACTTTAATCGTAACTTAACTCTGATTTTGGAAGTGTCTTATATCCATTTTTCATCAGACTGTAATTCTCCACCTGACTTGTCCAGCACCAAACTCGATATCATTCATTTCAGTTTGGCTCTGAATCCTCCGTCCGCCCTCACAAAAATCCCACTAAAATTACATTTGACCAAATAAGTGCTGTTGCTCTTTCTTGCTCTCAGATAATCAAACTGATGTGGTTTCTCTCCTCCGTCCTGCGGATGGATTTGTACGCCAGGGCCAGGTTCCCTTCAGTCCTGATTATTTATTCTGGATTTAACAGAGGGATCGGTGGAAGGTAGAAAATCTCCCCCGCTGCACACGTTTAATTACAGCAGCTCCATTTATTTTTTCAGCGCTCAAAGTGTCGGCTGCTGAGGGAGTGGAGCAACAGAGCCGAAATCAGAACTGATCCTAAAGCGAAATATTGATTATTGAAGGATAAGTGTGGACACGTGTGCTCTGCTGCTCGGGGAAATGTCTGCAGAGATGAACTGCTTACATGAATGATTTCAATAAAACAGAACAATCACAATATATCGCATCCAGATGTTTTAAATTGAGAAATTAGGTAATGACGGAGACCCTTTAATCCAGTCCATTTCTCACCGATGATCCTTCTGGCTTTCACTCTCTTTCGTCGCATAAACCTGATTTTTTATAAACCTGCTATTTGAGTTGGAAATTATGAATATTGAGCAACAGATTAAAGGTCACATATTATGCTTAATCCACTTCCCCATGTTTCTCTAACTCTTTATGTGTCCCTTATTCATCTACAAACCCCCCCAATGATGAGAAAAGTCCATCCTCTCCGTCTTTTGCCTGCTCCACTTTTCAGAAAATGTGTGCTCAGACAGGCCGTTTGGAGATTTTCCCTTCATGACATCACAAAGGGCAGTAACCCCTCCCCCAGGTGGGTGACACTCCCACAGCTAGGTGTTTGTTTCCGCCCTCTGAGTCTGCCTTCTCACCATAAACAATAGGACATGGAGCAAGAAAGAGCGAGACACCTGAGCCCTTGGAGGGGGGCGTGGTCAGACACAGCTCATTTACATTTAAAGGTACAGACACAGAAACCGCCTGTTTGAGCAGGGCTGAAATAGAGGGGTTTATAGGTATGATCAAATACAGGATCAGAGTGGATTTAGAACAAGAAACTTCACACACATGTTTTGGGGAGCTCTGAGTCTGGTTGAAGAATATGTGATGTTTAAATTAGCTTGTAGTGTTCTTCCTTCTGCAGAGTTTAGAAAAAGGCTGCGATAGCGAAGATGTTAGAAATATGTTGCTACCAGCATGACGATCAAACACACAACTTTCCCTTTAATGTAAAAATAGTACTGATGGTTCATACAGATGGTTTGAATATTCTTGGTTACCTTCCTCTCCTTGCAGTTTGTACAGACTTGTGTTCAGTGTTTCCGTGGTGTGTCCCTGTTGTTCATGGCCTCGTCCTGCTGTGTGTTGTGCAGACCCGGCCTCAGACAGCTCCTCTCTGGACGATCAGATGAGGCTAAAGCGAGCGCAGCTAGCCGAGGACCTGAACGAGAAGCTGGCTCTCAGGCCGGGGCCCCTGGAGCTGGTCCAAAAGAATATCATTCCCCTAGACTCTGCTCTCACAATGACAGGTACACACAGAGGACTGTAGTATAGTGTCACTCACCTGTAACACCTGATGCATCTCTACCTGTGTGACTAAACGTGTTTGTTTGGGGAGAGCTTCAGTTCATGTTTTCCTCCTTAATGAGTGCCTGGTACAGAACCCTGTTTGGTATTAACATCTTATAGTTGTATTGAACAGGGGTGATTTTGTTTTTAATAACTCATCTGTTGAATACACTTAGGGGCGTGGCCGAGTTGACTGACAGGTGAGCACATTGTCGCTGTTTACCCGGAGCTTAAGGTCCGCCTCAGCAGCACCTCTTTATCTGTTTCTAGATTGATCAAAAGTGAGGTGGAGGTCATAACAACTCTTCAGAAACCAGTAGATAAGGGGTTACAAGTACATCAACGTGGCAAAAAAACTGAAGCTGAAGCAAGTGGAGAAATAATAACATAATTGTCCAGCAGAGGGCATTCTGACATTCTGCATTGTTTATGATCCACTTAGCGCTGTCTGCACCAAGCAGCATCCTCTGGTGTTGAAAACTGAAGCCAATGCTGAAGTGTAAAATACTGCAGTTCCTCGAGTGTCCACTAGAGGCTGGCTGCAGAAGCACAGGAAGTCACATACACACCCATTCTAAAAAAGCTTGTTTTTACAGCACAGATGAACATGTTTACAGCCTGTGTCGATCAACACACACTGTACGGGGGGGTGAATGTTTTGATGACTCATCAGTTTTGATTTGATGAAGGATAAGAGTTATTCACAATAACGTGTGTAGCTGACCTGATTGACAGGTGGCCGCGGTGTAACGGTTTGTCAGGAGGTTTAAAACCCGCCTCAGCTCCAGCTCTCAGCCTGTCGTTAGGTTCACTGAAAGTTAGGCTGAGACAGCAATTCCAGCATGGAGACCGCCATCGATGGGACTACAGCGCCCCCTGCTTTGGGTGACATCGTTAAGTCTTCGTCCATTCATAATTTATAGCCGGCCTGCACATGTAGCAGAGCATAACAGCTGAGCAGAAGTTTGTCCACTACAACTGGTTCACATTGTATATTAAAGTATTTGTTTCGAGGCGGCTCTATGAGGTCCTTTGCAGAGTTAAATTAGCACACATTGAGTGGAAAATTTTTTATTTTTATTCTAGGTGAAAGTGTCACTTTATCTGCTGCTTTATCGTGTCTGCCTCAACAATCCTGTAACATTTGGACTCTATAAAACGTGACTTATTAGAGAGTGGTAAAAAAGATTCAGCTGCACACGCTCAGTACCTGTTTCCTGTTTTTGCTCCTTAATGTGATCCTCATTTCAAAGCAGGAAAAAGTATTTGTTTGTGTCTTTTGCTCGGGGAATGTTATTTACATTTTTAGAACATCGTGCTTCTTTCAGAAATCCTTCTTCAGCTCGGTGCGGACCTCCAGAAATGTTGTTATTGTGGCTATTTTTCTTCAAGAGGAGGTGCTTTGACATCTAAAGTGTATGTAGAGACCTCCGCCGCCTCCAGTGTTTGATTTAAGAAAATGCACAACATGCATGCTTACACACAGCGGTGATTTAACGCCGTGCATCGCTCTGACCTCGCTGTGTTTGTCTTCAGATGCTCAACATGTTACTCACTCTCTCTATATCACTCGGGGATGTGCAGAAAGTGCTTTTTGGATTCTGGAGCTTCAGCGGTTTTATGTTTGCCTGCTTCATCTTACTGTAAACATGTTGCGTAAAGGAGCCGGCGGCCGCGCTCGGCTGGTTTACCTCTGCAGGGCTAGGGAGCACCGTTTATTGAGATGAGCAGCAGCTGTATTTGGTCCACCCTTTTCTTTAGAAGTGTTTCACTTTGAGAGCGTCCTTGTGTGTATGTGTGGGCGTACCTGTGTGTATATTTGTGTCCCCCTCCTCCTCCCTCTTTGTCTCTGGCCTGCCGTCCTGCAGAGCTCTGTGACAGGAGCAGGCTGCTGCATTAACCCCTCACATTAAAGCTCCACATCCCCTCTCACACACACACACACACACACACACTCCCAAAGATGATTTCAGCCTCGTTTACAAACTATGTGACCCCATGTCACCTCTAAAACAGACACTTAACAAGAGGAAGAGCACCCTGCTCACAGATTTCCTGCAATGCGGACATTTCAATCACCCGGTGAAATCAAACTGACAGACAGACTCCTGCTGACAGAGTGAACAACATGTCCTGGTTACAAAGTGAACACATAGCAGCATGTTCAGCAGCTCTACACTTCAAAATATGACGTCTAGTTCAAGTCCTGCAAGGCGCTGATGTCCAGTTAGTAATGATTGATATGCAACATAAGCAAAAACAAAAAATGTGGCTGGACTTTTAAATGAATCATTAAGGATCGGCCAATGTGTGCTTAAACTATTTTGTTAACGCTAGCAATTCAATTCAATTCAAAAAACTTTATTTGTCCCCGGGGGTTAATTCAAAGCACGCTAGCTACCTTAACCTCAGAGCTCGTCTCACTGGCGCTCACTGTTGCTTGGTTACCAATGACTGCTCAGTGCACTTCCACTTCCCTCGGAAACAAGAATCAGAAAAGTTCCTCTTCTGCCATTGTTTTTGACTAAGTTGATGTCCCGCCCCTCCTTGATTTTGGTTGGTGGGTGAGGGAGAAGTGACCGTACTTCTTGAAAGAGGTACTTTAGATCAAGAACACACTCCCGCTCCACACTTAGAGATTTTGCACGCAGCTTAATGTGGCCTCCATGAAACTCCATGCAAACGCACAAGCACAGTGGAAGTGATCAGGGAGGAGAGGCTGTAGAGTTGGTTCATGAAAGGCCCTCTGACTGAAGCAGACGGCTGTAAACGTTCAAACCTTCTCCGTGAGAGCGCTCAGAGCCTGAAGCAGAAAGCCTGAGTTAATAGAGATAGTTGATAAGCAGCTTTATCATACCTGTTATCTCTAACTGCATCTTCAGGGTTGGTCGAGCCAGCTTATTGAAAAAAAATAACCAGTGTGTGTGGAACTGTCTTTGTAGTACAGACCTGTGATTGGTCGATGTGAAGAGAGAACATACTCAAAGCTGGACAAGAGTAAAGAGTTCATCGTGAACAGGTGTGAGGAAGTGGCATTGAGGAGTGTGTGTGTGTGTGTGTGTGTGTGTGTGTGTGTGTGTGTGTGGAGGTCATTAAGTTGCACAGAACGTGTCTGGTGCTGTGATTGAAACCAGGGTCTGTTCCTGCCCGTCACATGTTTGGATACAAAGAGAAAATCTTACACACACACACACACACATTGGCTTCTGTGTGATAGCCATTCTCAGATCAACCAATTAAAACTGCGCTCACTATCAGCCCGGCCAATCAGAGGCGAGCTGAATGTAAAGTGTCTCACACACGCAGCGTGACACCTCCCTGGTACAAGGTGTGAGTGACACACAGGAAATGTGTGAATACCAGCGCTCAGCGAGAGGACACTTAGTGTGAACAACGTGCTGCCGTTCCTGAGTGTCTCCAGTAGCCTGCAGCAGTGAAACAGGCTGCAACGGCTGCAATGTAATCCTCAAACAAATCAGAGAGCGTCCTTTAAAAGTTGTTGTTTTTGTCCCTGACAGGTTACGGTAGTTACTCTCAGTGTGACACCATGACAGAAAGGATCCCTGCAGAGATTGAGGACGATGATTTTTTTAAACCACAAACAGCTGTTACATCACTCTCTGCAAACACACATCACTACATTCAGAAAAACATTCATCTGTCTTGTAGAACACAGGCATCGCTGGTCTCTGGTAGAGGATAACAGGAGGTGCATCTGTACTTTACTGTTGCCATCATCAGACCAGGGACAACAGACAGAAATTAGCTGGTTAGCTCAATCTGGCTCCCATGCCGAGGATGAAAATACAAAATATTTGCCTCACCCAGACTTCCTGCAGAAAGTTGACTTGAAAAGGCCAGGTTCAGTAGTTTTGTGTTTGAGTGAATCGTGCTTCATGTTGTCGTACCATCTTGTGAAAATGTTGCTGTGCAAATGTTTAGTAGTTCCTGGGCCTAACATGATGCGTTCAGGGCTTAGTACAAGTTATATAAGAGAGTCTAAAAGAGAGCACCTCAGTTTCCTGATTTTATAATTTGAGATAAATAAACGTACTCATGTACTAAATATGCATAAACACAAACACTTGATTTGTCGATATGTTTGACAAAAGGGCTTCTGATGTTGTCAAACTGTAGACGTATCGTCTGGTAGTTTTGTCTTCATGCAGCAGTACAGCAGACAAATTCACATCTCACCGAGTAAGAAACATAAGCAGGCCTTTACTTTTTAAACAAGCAGGACAAACTTCTTAGAAAACAAAAGGCAGGAGGTGAAATCATCCAAACGGAGGGTAGAAAACAGACATCAGACTCTCTGGATCAATCTGGACCTTCTGTACTTGTGAGGGATTATCGGTGACATTTTGGACGGGCATGTTTCAGTTTTACCTCCTAATAAAGAGGTTCAGATCAGCCGGATTAGGTCTCGGCTCCATCGGACTTACTTTTCACGACCCCCTCGTGTTCCCCGGATCTCTGCAGCAAGAAATAAAAAGGTCTGAAATCTCCACTCTGTTAACCCTCCTCCTGTCTCTGTGCTCCTCTCTCACAGTGAACCACGGAAAGTTCCCCAAGCAGGAGGACTCGTACGCGTTCGAGGAGGACAGCAGCAGTGAGAGTCTGTCTCCGGAGCAGCACCACAGCGATGAGTCTCCGGGCTCGGCGTGTCCGTCGTCTGAGGCTGTGGGCAGCACGGCCTCCTCGTCCTCCTCGCCCGCCCTCACCAGCCCCCGACAGGTAAGAACTCACCTCTATCGTCCCCTCAAGTCCTTCCGCATGTGCTCTTTTTCTCCGGTTGCACCCTCCTCCATTTATTTGCCTCTGGTGTCCTCTTGTGGCGACAGAGTGAACTGCACCTCCTCAGACCGTTGGACTCAGTTGAACCGCTCAGGTGTCACATTCCTGCCTCCACAGCTGCCGTTCACTTCCTCTCCACTCACCCTTTCAAACACGATGACCTCACCCTAACGGACGCCATCATTAACAGTAAACAGATTTAAACGTGATACCAGAGCAGGATTATTTACATGTCAGACGTCTGTCTCTGAAATGTTCCAGCAGATTCATCGAGCGTAATTCCACGAGTCAGATGAAGAAATCTTGTTTATGAATACTTCTGCAAACGAAACGTGCATGTTTTTTTTTTTAACGGTTGGATTGCAAACTTACTGTCATGCTGAAAGATCCTCAGCTCAACTTGAAAATCCTGCAGAGGAATAAAAAGAAAAACAAAAATTCAGAGCAAAACCATAAAATCTGAGGCAGCATTTCGAAAACAACTCGAGCAGTCTGAACACCAAACATGTGAAATGATGAAGATGTTCTCTGCTGCAGTTTTGACAGAACTGATTCTGACCTTTTATTAAACAGGTTATGTGATATTTCTAAATAGAAGTTGGTTTTCATTATGTCGATAAATGTCGTTCTGATTTCAACCACGATCCATTCTTTAAAGACTAATTTAAAAGTGAGATTATGATGATTCTGTTTAAAGCATTGAGGACGACAGGTCCATTAAAAAACAGATCCAGTTTCTCGGCTCAGTATAGTCAGACTGGTTTTAAGATTTCTCTCCCCAACATGTAGATCTTTTTTAAAGGTCATATATCTTCCTCCTCCTCTTCAACCAGTGTAAATAAGTCTCAGAGCTCCTCAAAACATGTCTGTGAAGTTTCTTGTTCTAAATCCACTCTGATCCTGTATTTGATCATGCCTATAAACCCCTCTATTTCAGCCCTGTTCAGAACAGGCTGTTTCTGTGTCTGTAGCTTTAAATGTAAATGAGCTGTGTGAACTGATCTCATGTCTGAGGGGGGCGTCCAAAACAGACGTGTAGTGGTAAGTGCATGCGCCATGTACAGCGGTTATAGTCCTCCAAGAGTGTGGCCCTGGGTCTCGTCAGGCCTGTGGCTTCTTTCCTGCATGTCAATTCCCACTCTATCCACTGTACCATTTCTATAATAAAGGCATAAAAAGCCTACCTTCTCTGGTCCAAACAAATCCAGATCATTCAGGAGCAGAATCTAAAGTCAGAAGGAGGACATACTGGCTGCTGCATTGTTGTCAGAGAAGCCAGCACTTCAACATAGCATGTTTCCTTAATGTCTGATCACATAGTAAGGTCACTTTATCATTTCACTCACTACACATCTCACTGATTGGACCTTTAAAGATATTCAGGATACAGACATTGTCTTAAGGAGCTACTTTTATTGGAGCAGCTCTTCACAGATACACAAAATACTTTTCTCAGCATGTTGTTTTTGTGTTGTGCACAGGGAGGTACGGGCCAAGACCCTCCTGATCACAGCCACGATGAAGGTCAGACTGCTGCCAACAACAACCAGGCCACTCCCCCAATACCTGTTCCTGCTATCGTCAAGGTCGGCATCGTCTAATAGATTTACCTCCACCTTTTTCTTTTCTTCTTTTTAAGCTTCAGTATGCATGTTCTCACTTTCTCTCTCTCCCCACCCTGAACAGTCAAAGACGTCTGACAAGAACCGGCACAAGAAGCCCAAAGATGTGAAGCCGAAGGTGAAGAAGCTCAAGTACCATCAGTACATTCCTCCGGACCAGAAGGCGGAGAAGTCCCCTCCGCCTATGGACTCGGCCTACGCCCGCCTGCTCCAGCAGCAGCAGCTCTTCCTGCAGCTGCAGATCCTCAGCCAGCAGAAACACGCTCACACACAGTCCCAGCAGCAGCAGCAGCAGCACACACACACTCCACGCACACAAGCCCATCAGAGACAGCCGGCGTTCAGCTACCAGCCCCACCCACAGAGCCAAACACACAAGTGAGTCTCAATCGAAGTCAAAAACTAAGAAAGAATTTGTGTTATTGTTTGAACATCAATGAAGCATTGGTGGAGGATTAATCCACTGTGATTCTCCCACTGTAGAGGCGTCAGTGAGCAGCTCTCAGTCTGCACCTCCAACGGTCCATCAAGCCAAACAAACTGTAGCTCCTCCTCCCCGGTGAAGAACTCCTATCCAAACCAGAGCACCATCTCTCCAGTCAAACCTGGGCCCCTGCCGGCGAATCTGGACGACCTAAAGGTAGGTGTTACGAAGTAAAATGACGGTTGATGTTCTGCTTTCATTACATAAAGTCTAACATCTGTTTGTTTCTGTGTCAGGTGTCAGAGCTCAGGCAGCACCTGCGTATTCGGGGCATGCCCGTCTCCGGCACAAAGACCGCCCTCATCGAGAGGCTCCGACCCTTCAAAGACTCCAACGCCGGCTCCTCCCCGTCCGGCTCCTCTGACATCACCACAGTCACCTTCCCCGTCACACCCACAGGCTCCCTATCCTCCTACCAGTCTCCTTCCTCCTCCAGCGCTCTCTCCCATGGAGGCTACTACCCTTACCCCAGCACCTCCTCCACCCCTCCCATCTCCCCCGCCTCCTCCGAGCTCTCCCTCAGCGGCTCGCTCCCCGACAGCTTCAGCGACGTACCCATGTCCTCGCCGACCCAGTTCAACCTGCAGCCGTCACCCCGCCCATCTCAGCATGGAGGACGGCCTTGGGGGATCGCAGAGGGTGGGGGAGGGCGGCGGTATGGAGGGCATGGAAGCAGAGAAAGATAAAATGCTGGTGGAGAAGCAGAAGGTGATCGAGGAGCTGACGTGGAAGCTGCACCAAGAGCAGAGACAGGTGAGGAAATCAGGAACTGATTTACTAAAGGGTCGGCTGTCTACAGGAAAGCTCCTTCAGCAACATGACCTTTGTTTATAAATAAATAAATAAATGTGTCCTTGGGCAAGACACTTAACCCCCAATTGCTCCCGCTGCTTCGGCGACTTGTGAATGTGTATGATTGGGATTAGTTACTTCTCATGGACTCTTTACCCAGCAGCCTCTACCATCAGTGTGTGAATGTGTAGGTGTGACCTGCGGTGTGAAAGCACTTTGAGTAGTCATACATTTACAAGCTCAAGTCCATTTACTATTGTGAGGATTTTTGTGCCTGCTAAACGGCAAGTGAGTCAAAAAGACACAGTCTTAATTCACTAAACCCACCCAAAGTGTTAAAAGCTCCCCTCACTGCGCTGCAGAGTAAACGGCGTCTGTGCTGTTTGTGTGTGATGAAATGAAACATGATGAAGTCATTCGGGAAAACTGTTCCCTTTCTATTCAAATTAGCCTCAAAGCATGAAATGAGCTACAGAGACCCAAACTGTTCTTGTACCAGGCTGTAAACATGTTTATTTCTGCTGTAAAGTTGGACATTTTAACATGGGGCTCTATGGTGACTGACTCACTGCATGAGACAGACTCTAGTGGACATTCAAGGAACTGCAGCTTTTGTTGCTTCAACAGTGGCCTCATTTAAAAGCACTGGAGGTTAATGCAGGTCTAACCTAAAAGTGTTGCAGTGCCAATATTTGGTATGAAATTACACGGACATTTAACTAATTATTTTCACGACTGACAGAATATCTGTATGGTTCTACTGTTTTTAGGTTGAGGAATTAAAGATGCAGCTCCACAAGAGGAAACGCTGCTACGGAGCAACACAAGACACCGTCCCTCCTCCACCTCACCCTCCCCTGCACCACCAGCAGACTCCCCCCATGATGGGACAGCACTTCTTCGGGGTGACGATCAAGCAGGAGCCCATGTCTTTGTCCTCCAGCTGTCCTCTGTCCTCTCCAAAGCAGCTGAAGAGCTCACCTGGCAGCTGCATGGAGGAGATGGGACACTGCAGCGCCCCCCTCTCTGGTATGGGGGGGCCCCAGTGGACCACAGTGTATGGACACCACCCCGTCCACAGGCAGCCCCTCCACAATGTCCGCTTTCCTGAGTCCACAGTGCTCTCCGCAGGACTCCCCCATTGGAAAGCCTTCGGGAAGCCCCCAGCCGTCGTCTCCAAATAACCCCTACATGCTAACACCTTCGCTGGGGAGGGACGGCTGCCGTCACCCCCACCCGCAGGGCAACAACAGAGTACGCAACATGCAGGTAACGTGCGTTTTACTTTTTAATTCCAGATCTACAATAAATAGCTGCTTTATCAAATTTACCAACTGAGCTCTTTATTGTTAAGTCAGAAGTTATTAACTGTGGGTCTTTATAATCTCAAGGTTGTGTCTGGATATTAACCCTTTAGATTCCAAACTCCTGCACATGCCCAGTTACTCTTTCCCCTTCACCATCAATAATTTTATCTTAAAGAGGACATATTATCCCCCTTCTCCACCTTTTCAAACAGTCCCCTATGGTCTAAATGAAACATCTGTGCTGTGCTTGGGTCAAAATATAACATGAATCAAGCACCAGAGGAGGTTTGTGACCCTGTATAAACCAGCTCTCTCAGAACGCTCCGTTTTGGTGTGTGTGTCTCTTTAAATGCAATGAGCCCCCCCCTGAGTTTTCCTCGTAGACATCATTCCTCTATAGCGAGAATAAAAATGGTGGACCTGTGCAAAAGATTTGTTCTAGGCTGGGGGTGGAGTCCATTAAGTGGAGATACCAGGGGAGGGGTGGGGATTTTTTCTACCAGATTCCCACTGTGACATCACAAGGAGAGCACATTTGAAACTTTGCATTTTTCTCTGTGTTGTAAGACTTATGCAGACCACAAACAAAGGACTGCATGGGCTTATTTCACATTTTGTGGGTCAGTAGACACTCAAAATATGAAATCAAATTACCCAAATATATGTTCAACAACACTGTAGAAGAGGATTTTTCATAAGATGTCCCCTTTAAGCCATGATCTCCTCAACCTCACCATGTAGTTTTGTTGCCTTATCGCTAAAAGTCAGTACCCAACAGAGTCATGTTGGTGCCTAGCCGTGTGGGTTTGGTGTCCACAGCGACTCGAGTAGTTTTGTTGCACTGCTTTGTTGTTCTTATGTCATCTTTTTTACCTTGCTATGTAGTCTAAACCAAACCAAGTAGTTATGGTGCCAACCATGTACTTCTGCATTTAATCATCACGGTACCTAACTGTAAAGTTTAGGTGTAGTTTTATCAAATTTGCAACAGGAGCCAGAGGTGAGGCTTCCCGGTCTGCTCGCTTTCACTGGCTGCTGCAGGTATCCCGTCAGAAGCAGCCCGACCTGATGCCATAAATATCAAACATGTTAGTTGTTTTAGATTCCAGATTAAGGAGGCTCTGACTTGATCAAGAGCAGTAAAATAATCGTATTAACACACTTGAGGATTATTTGGACAAATAATCGGTTGTGTTATGCAAATTGAGTCAAGCCCCCCCTGATCACTTGGGGGGAGGAATCAGGCCATAAATTGTCTAGTGTGTAGCTAGCTTTAGCTAAGGGACTCTGGTACATCGTCTTAACCCTTTCCTTACTGCCAGCTGTGTTCTGGTGCTTTAACACTGCAGGTTTACATAAAACTGACAGAACTGTTTGGTTGGATTAGGTTTGAGTTTCCCTTCGTCCCTACGTCCTCTCTAAACCGCTGTAAATATATGATCTCTATATCTCCTGTAACGTCCCTTTCAGATATATACTTTTGTCTTGATAACCACAGATGCAGCAGAAAAATGGCGTTCTGCCGGTTAACTGCTCTTATCCTTCCGACCAAAGAGGCCTTCAGGGAGTCTTTCCAAACTCTGCAGAGTGTGGTCACACTGGCTCAGTCAAGACCGAGAACCACAGCATGCACCCAAAGGTGAGCATGTTGATCATTCACAGCATCTGCAGCGTGCCGTCAGTGTCACTTAGTCATCACCTCACATCCACATACCCGTTTGTCTCTTCTCTATCCATGTGTGTGTTCATCTGTTTTCATCACACAACAACGCCAACCTTTCTTTTGATCCCATCACAAGGGCCGGGATTCTTTATCTCTAATGTGCAGTACTTTCACATTTGAAACCCCCTCTTACTGTAACTGGTGGGCTAACGTCACTTTTCACCTGTCTCATGTAGATGTCAGTAGTGCCCTCTCCTCGGCATGTTGGCCTAAAGAGCCAGGCCCCCCCCCCAGCCGTCAGTAGCTCAGATTCAGATGACTTAAGACAGCCCCCATGCTATGAGGATGCAGTCAAGCAGGTAAACTCTAAATTTACGCAAAATTTAGCAGACGAATGGCTGGTCAAAAGATTTTATTTGACTCTTGGCGTTGCTCTGATTCCACTCTTCCTCCTCCTGTCTCCTGTTTTTTTTGTCTCATCAACTGTGTCACGCTTCTTAAACTCATCCATTCGCTTTGTTCCCCACACTAACTTTACACCCTCCTTATAAAAAGCCTGACGCAGATGGATGTTAAAGTGGTACAGATGTAGCTTTCAGTGGTTGAGGGAAAGAGAGGTGGGGCTAAACGTACATCTTGACAGAATACGGCAGGCACAGCAAGCTGGCAAATATCGCATGCCGTCCATATTTCCCTCATTATTGCGCTCAAATTGGGGAGGTGAAGATGGGAAGCTCAAACGCTGTTTTAGAGTCGTTAACGCTGCTGTTCTCGCGGTAACTTCAAATCACACAAACTTTCTAATTTACAATTTTCACAAATACAGCCGTATTTCAATCTTAAATGTCACAAACTCTCAGACAGCTCAGCTGACGAGTCCAAAGTAATAGCCACCTGATGACATCACACATTGACCTTTGTTACCGTTCCTTTGAGCTGTCAGTTTGGGATCCCTAACCACTTCCTGTTTCTGTGCTTAACTTCATGTCCTAACCACCAATCTACAGGAAGGGCCTTACTTTATTTCAAAATAAAAGCAGGGTTGAATTCAAACAGGAGAATAAGTACCATCAGCGTGGACCAAACAAAAATTCAAAATAAAAGCCTAAATAAGGGTGCAAACAGTGATATCATCTGAATAAATCCTCGGTAACACTCGATTCATCTCGACTATTTAAACTGAACTTTTACATCTCTAACTTTTGCATCTCTTTGTAGACGGCTTGAAAGCTTATTTATTTTTTAATGACTGTTTGATTGAATTGACTTCGTGTTAAAGTAGCATTCGGTTAACAGTTACTGTCTTGATTCTGTTACAGCAGCTGACCAGAAGTCAGCAGATGGACGAGCTGCTGGACGTGCTCATAGAGAGCGGAGGTAAGGACACATTATGCTCCGACCGTTAGCATAGCTAGCACTGCACACGCTAAGAGGTTTAAAATCTACATATTAAGTGAGCTGGTCTGAGGTCAGAGTTTTACCCCACATTGGGGTTTGATCAGAACGTGCAGTGACCCTCCCTCCTCTCCTCTTTCTCTTCAAGAGATGCCCGCTAACGCCCGAGAAGAGAGGGAGCGGTCCTCTGTAACCAAAGTTGTGCCTCACATTAATGTGTCCCCAGGGTGCCCCGGCCTCCTCATCCCGAGGTTCCACCGACACTACGAGCACCTGAGCCCCTCCCAGCTGCCATACGACCATGCAGCCAATCACATCGCAGAGAGCCACCTGGAGACTCTGCTGGGGAGTCCGATCGCTCGGGGAGCGGAGGGTGCTCTCCTTAAAATGGCTGCTGAGGATGGAGGGCAGGAGGACGAAGGGAACAGAGACAGCGAGGGTTACGGCAGCCCCCACAACCATCACCGCCACCCGCACCACCCCCAACAGGACAAACTGATGACCAACAGAGAGCTGATGGACACGCCTCTGTCCCCAATTAGCATTAACACCAAGGTGTCCTGCGTCCCCGAGGTGCAGGGCATGGTGAGCATGACGTTCAACGAGACGCCGTGGGAAACGATGGAGTGGTTGGACCTGACCCCGCCCAGCTCGGCTACGGCCTTCAGCGTGGCTCCACCCACCGGGCCAAGCATCTTCAACACAGAGTTCCTGGATGTGACAGACATTAACCTGAACTCTGCCATGGACCTCCACCTGGAGCACTGGTGAACGCAACACCCGCCAAGTACTAGCTAGCATCATGCTAACACCAGCCTGCGAGGAACAGTGCAGACTGCTCACTTCAGCTCCAACCAAACCAAAGAACTTCTGCCTTAACCGCTTCAGTCCAAATGCCAGAGTTTGCCTTTTTGTATGAAACAGTGGGACGTAAATGAAGCAGACTGTCAGCCGACATTAAGAGATTGTGTGTGATGTAAGAAATGTAACTACAGAGAAATAGACAGAATCCAAAGAAAAGATTAAAACAACCTCTGTCCATTTCTTTGTGACATTTATGCACAAAAACTGCCGACAAGTATCTCAAAGCGAACACAGGAAGGGTTCATGATCGGGATGTGACGATACACGCAACGTACGATCTCAGACAATATAAACACAAAACATCCCTTTTCCTTATTTTCTTTATAAACATAGATCTGATACAGCGTCAGAGCATTAATCGCGGTTAAGTTCCAAAGTTAATGCCCTAGTTTTTTTAATTCACATGCGCGTGTCATTTTGTTCCTTTCTGTACGTCTTTCTGCTCTCGCAGTGATAAAGAAACGACTCCTCTGTGCCTTTGAATCTCTCATTTCCCTAAAAAGAAAAACCTCGACCCGATCAGTTGACGAGTTCAAAGTTAAATCCAGCTAGTGTCCTCAAACGTTTCACTTTTACTGATCCTTATGGACTTTCAAAATAAAAGCACTACAAAAAAATCTAAACAGGAAGTATTAAGATAATACAAAATACAAAAAGCATACTTTTTTTTATTTTTTTTTTAAATAAAATAATTATGGATTTTAAACATGGGATTAAAAACAGACTTAGCTAAATGTGCATAGGGCCCCAGACCAGTAGGGGGCCCCCTGAGGGCTCACAAACTTTAAACCACATCAGCCGCCCAAAATGTCAGTAGGAAACCTCCATAAAGGGGCCCCATCTGACAGAACTCACTCTCGTTGCCCTGCTAAATGTTGCATGCATTATTTCTGTGAAAACCAATGTTTTTCTAAAAAGTGAACAAAAGAAAATAAAGATGAGTTATCCGTCTATAGGTGAGAAAACTGAAACAAGAAGCAGAGGGACGCTGGCATAACATCACAGAGATAAATGCGGGTTGTAGGGCCCCCTAATTATTTCTTACTCTTTTCCCAACAGCTTCCTCTGCTGGTTAAAACATTGTATTGAGATATATATTTTTGTCAAACAGATTAAAATTGTCCATATTTGTATCGATGTATTGATTGTCTTGCGTGGTATCGTTACATCCCTGATTAACAAGTTTATGAAAGTATGATTACGTGCTTTATTCCAACACTTTATGCAATATCAGTGTTACACCACCTGGACTCGTGACAATCATTGTATATCCTCTGAGTTTGTATTACTGGAAAAAACTAAAACAAAAGGAAATACAAGGTGAATTGGATGCTTTGGCGGCCATTTTGTAAATATCTGAACTCTTTGTACCGACAGAGACATGATGACGTCTGCATATTTTGTCAGCGGCGTGGGAGACGAAATGAACCACAAAGTGTAATATGTAATGGGATTATTATCGATGTAAATATGACACACTGTGCACCTCTACATAAAAAACACTTTTGTCACAGTTTGCTTGAGAGTAGAATTATGTGTGTAGAAATGTTTGTCTTTGCCTTTTTTCATCTGTTCACTATTTGGCGTTTTTTTAATCCACAGAATGACGTAATGGAGAGAACTCAACTTTTATTTTGAAAATCTTTGGTCTTATTGGTTATAATTACCAGGCAAATATCTGCAACATATTTTTATGACATGTTTATGCTTCTTTCCCCTTTTACAATTAGTTTACTAATCCAAGACGCTGCGGCATCAACTGGTTTTATTTTATTTGACCAATTATGAAAAATACTCTTTTTTTTGTACCCAGGCCAATTAACTATTTATTTTGTGTTTTTAATGTATGCTTTATCGTGTATTTATACTGACATTCCTTTCTTATAGATTGGGGCTCTTTGATTTACTGGAAACTTCCTGTGCAGCCGATCTGACCGCAGATATTTCCCAGTAAATTAAGTCTCTTAAAAATGTGATGAAACATGAAGGAACCACTTTGAAAAGCCATGTTTTCTTATGTCAGTTCACCATATGAAGTGGAAATGACCATTATGAGCACTTGTGAATAGGAAATGTAATATATTCAGACCTCTACTGTGAATACCGCGTATGAGCACAGCCTAAACTTAGCGTACCAGAGCCAGCCTTTTTCACACAGAAGCTACATGAAAAAAAAAAAAAAGTCAGACTCTAAAAACCTTTAAAGTTTTAGTTTTAGTTTAGTTTTTGTTTTTCAAACTTTCTCAGGAGTCTGAGGAGAATGACGCTGTCATATCTTTATGCTAAACATGTGGCTAAAGGTAGTAGTTAGCAGGGAGACAGCTAACTTCTAAATCTGCGAGCTAACATAAGATTACCCCTTTACCATCACGCCAGTTCCAGGGCTGGTTCAGAGTCTAATATAGCATCAGTTATTTGTGTTTCAACATCTCTGGGCCAGAAATAAAAACAGTCCCAGAGTAGCACCAACTCTTTGCTGGTCTACAAGAAAGAGCGGCATACATCAGGGGTTGGGGGCGGGGTTATCATGACCTAAATAGAAGTACGTAAAACTTGACTATGACCATCTCTGACCCCAGAAATAAGAGTTATCCCGTTTTAAAACACTTCTGCGAGTTGAATACATCAGTGGCAGGGATGCATCTCTCAGAGTAACACCGGTATGCCAGCCGACCGGGGCGCCTGAACTCTGCAACGGCGACGCACTTGTTGGAAGTGATGGAGGATGAGAACGCCACTCCACCAGCAATACGTCTAACATTAACAATTTAACTCGTATCGTATGCCACGGTCAGACTTCACGTAATCAGCACGATTTGAGCCCGATCTGGCAGGTCACAAACATAGACAAGCAAAGGACTAATGATGAAGTTATTACTGGGATATGGAACTATGAGACAGAGGAAACATTTGTTGAGCTTTGGCACCAGCAGATTTTGGGGGGTTTGCAGTCTTCCTTCCAACGCCATCATGTCGGTCAAGATGATTGGTCAGGTGCGACCGAGTAGTCTGTCATGTGTGTCAGTCAAGTCACAGTACAAATGTATGGCAGTGACCATCATAACAGACAAAAGGATGGTGTAATCTGCCCTCAGCGTTATACTTACGTTCATGTTGGAAACAGGGAGATAGCTAAACGACTAAAGCTAGCAGTTAGCTCATCATAAATTCTTATTGGAAACAGGGGGACGGCTAGCTTCTCAACCGGTAAGCTAACGTAAAACCAAAATGAGCCTGTTCAAGGTTTTCTAGTTGGCATCTTGTTAAGCCCTCACCATAGCAACCTTAACGCGGCAAACGTTAGCTCATCGGTTACCAGCACAAATCAAAACACATTTGACCTGCTTAAATCCGGCATCGCAGAATTCGTTAAATAAAAACTGTTCAAACAGTTTCGTTCAAATCATTTGTAAGACTTATTTTGGTGGTGATTTGTATTATCCTTGGAGACAGACTCGTCGTTTTCAGAGAACATCTTTAAGCTAAATTTTTTGGCTTCTATGCAAACAGTGGCGTCACCCCCTGCTGGCCATGAGCCAGAATACAGGCTTAAGAAGCTATGTCCACCTCATGTGTAGCCTATTCCCTGGCCTTATTCTTATCAGACAGATTTGAGACATATTCTTTTAAAATGTCAAACTATTTTTTAATCGCGTTGACGATTCTGTGTTTTGTTGATGATCGCCCACCTTGTGTTGTTTTGACCAAATATTGTTTTGTATCCCGCTTCTTAGGAAGAGTGCCACTTCTTTAATGGGTTCAATGGTTTCATTCAGGAGATTAAAACCAATGTTAAGTATATGACAAAGCTGATATTCTCTATTAGCCGTCTTCTGTTAAACAGATTTGCCTTATTTCTCCGGTTGGGTTCTTCCTGATCTGACAGAAGCCTCCATGTTGCTTGACCACTGACTTGCTTTACTTTTGTAAAAACATATCTGCCTGCCTCCTTGTATACTACAGAAAGACGAGCAATAAACGTATCACAGCAAAGATCACGTGTGCAGTTTGATTTTTTTTATTGAAGAATCACACAATAACAGCTGTTTCTTCTTTTCCACGGGAACTTTATTGGTAACCCTTCATAAAGATACAATATAATATTCACCTCAATATTATCTTAGAATCTAATATGAACATTCTAGTAAATTGAAATTTTTACAACATGTACCCCGGAGATTCAGATTACCGGCGGTAAGTCGGCTTCCTGTGTAGCCCGAAAGTGAAGAACAGATGTGTCGTGTCTTCAGTGTGTTTGCACCATTTCACGTGACGGATAGAAGCGTTAAGAACGGAACGGACGCCACTCGCTCTCGTGGATATAAAGAGAGAAACATGTCTGGTCTACACTGCAGCTCCTCCGACATTTATGTTTGGTTTTATCCCCTCCTAAAAGAGCCACAAGTCTTCTAAAAGTTTGTAATAAAAGACCCCAAACTCCCAGACAATAGGGACCATTTTCCAACATGGCCGACATCTGTAGAGGCCCGTGGCGTTGAGTTTTAAACTGAGCTAAGATGAAAATGTGATTTTCATGAGCGTTTTAAAGTTATCATTTGGCCTCTGAATAGTTGTTTATTGCTCTGTGTTTTTGGAGGAGCTTTGACAAGTCTGAAAGGTTTTTTTAACCTCTTTAGGATTAACATTCTTTTGGTTTTGAGCTGCGTTCAGACAAAAATGGGAGCGAATTTGTGCCTGTTTTTCCACGCTAGTTTTACCAATCCTCAGCGTTGTGTTTATCTGCGTTGGTTAAAGACAACGCTGAAGTATCCGCTCTTCTAGATATGCAAGAAATCAAACGTCACCTTGACTCACACAGGTTGGTCAATGTCTCCATCCACTGTGTCTGGATGACAACTTTTGTTTCCGTGCAACTTCCTGGTATTTGACCAGGTCTCAGTTTAATGACCTGTTAGCTTGGATCAGTACCAGGATTTCTCTGATGGACGCCACCTACCGGCGTTCAGTCACGACCACTTTGTCAAGAAAATACATTGTTTGCAGGGGACACCATGAGTGCGTACACTTTGGTTCAGTAATGATCTTTAAGTCGTTTGTTTTCCTGCATGTCAGACTTTCAGCTTTCAGAGCGGGAATCCCTTCGGATGGATATCAATAGTCTCACATTGCTGCCTGCTGAAGAGTATGGAGATGCATCCCTGGATCAACACGAGGTTTGTCATTGGAAACATGCTGAATCATTAAGAAACATACTGAGTCATGGTGGTCTTTATGGTCAGGGAGCGGAAACCGCGCGAGGAGAGATCGTTCTCCTCTTCAGACGCAGGCGAGACGTCGTTTAGCAGCATCACAGGTGACATTTTTAACAACAGGAAGTCCTCAGCTGGACCTTTTTTTAAAAAGTGTAGTTCCTATGTTTGCCTCTGTGTGGCAGCACGGTGCATCTGTGATCAGTGTGGATGAGTTTAACTGTACAGTTCTTGGACAGGCTGCGGAGGAGCTTTAAGGCTCATTTTTTTAAAAATGAAAACAAACAGAATAAACGTTTCATTCTGCAGCCAGCGCCCACACAAACGGGTGAGTATCGGCGCCAAGACAAAAAGTCTGAAATGTCAAGAAGTTCTTCCTCGTTTTAGGTAAAAACTTTTTTCTCAAAATGCACAAATTAAAATCTTCCTCCGCTCATTCTCAAACACTCCTGATGTTTTAATTTGATGCTCTGAGTTTGAAAATGAGCCGTAACGCTCGAGCAGAAACTGCCGGATTAGAAGTTCTATATACAAACACATTTACATCAAAAGTTACTTTACATCAATGTAGCATCGTGTTAGCCCCAGTTTGTGCCTTTAATGTGCCATCACTATATTTGTGTCATAAGCTAAAAAACCCATCCATTCTCAGGAACACAATTCAAACATAATAATCTTCTCATTAAATTAGAATAAACCGTTTAAAGTTGCTGAAATAACGACAACACAAGTCATCATTTTTCTGCAAGACGACGAGCAAACAATGTCTAAATCGATTGTTTTTTTTGTTTTTTTTTAATGGAGTTTGGCGAGAACATTTCATGTTTAACCTTAGGACATCAGGAGGATTTTGTGATGTCATGAATATAAAGATGTTTAGCATGATTCAAAAGAAAATTCAGGATATGCATAATCATAAAACTTTGGGCGTCTCATTTTCCCCCCTGCTTGCAGATTTGATAAAATGTTTCAAACATTTACGTTAAAGCTACAGGGAAAATATCTCCTCAACATTTTTTGGGCAACAGAGACGGGAGCGTGTCTATGTTCCCTCGTCCCTGTGGAGTGTCGTTCTCTCTCTCGCTCTCTCTTAGATTTCTGTCCACTCTTAAATCTCTAAAATAAAGGCATAAAAAGCCTAAAAATAAACCTTGGATTTGGATTTCATGAAAACTTAATGCAACTCCACAAACATCTTCCAATCTGCCAGAAGTCTTCTTTAAAGATATTAAAGGGGGGGGGTGTCTGTAGCCTTATGGCCTAGTGGCTGTGGTCCTAGTGAGCAGGCAACTTCAGTTTGACATCATGGCTCCTTTCACCACATGTCATTTCTCTCTCTCTCTCTCTCTCTCTCTCTATCTCTATCTTTGTTTTTAAAGACACATGGATCTTTATCTCTGTGGCTGAAACTCATGATGACAAGGTCAAATAGAAAAAGCACAACCTGGAGCTAACTTTAAACGTGAGTGAAGACTGACGCTCACAGATTGCATATCGAAGAAAAACAAAAATAAAAAGTAAAGCCACGCGACCAAATCTATGAGCTCTCACGGAGAAGAAGCACTTTGCATACTCAACTTTAACAGTGTGTGTGTGTGTGTGTGTGTGTGTGTGTGTGTGTGTGTGCGTGTGTGTACTAGTGCATGTGCATGTGCATGTGTGTGTTTCTGTTTGTTCCTTTGATTTGGTAGATTCTGTCTTTGTGAACATCGACTTCTTCAAGTAAATATATTTATTTATGAAATGTTTCTGCTCACATGAAGGACGCCTTGCGTTCTCCTGAGACAGAGTCGTGTGTTCAAGTGTTCTCGGGGTGAAGATGGATGCTGATGTTTGACTTTGATGACGTGACGGGAGGGGGAATATTTGGTAATGTTTGTCTGATGCAGTTTGTGAGTTCCTTTGTTTCTTTGGAACGCGTGATTAAACTACTCTGAGGGGCTAACATGGCGAGAGTCGCTTCGCAAAGCTTAGTGAACCCCCCCTGAACCCCCCCCACCACCAGCTGATCTCCATCAGTCGACGTACATGGGGGAGACGGGCGAGGCGGGGATCTGATCCAGGATGCGAACCACATACGAGGCGACGTCCACTAAGCGCTCCTCGTATATCATGATGAAGGGATGTTTCTGCAGGAGAGAGATTCAATAAACAGATGATTAAATAACAGGATGACAAGATGCTGACATTACGACACCATGATGTTGATTTTTACAAAGTCTGACTTCATGACTAGTCACGCCTGTGTCTGTTTAAAAGGTCTTTCTGTGTCCAGGTTAGTCCCACGGAGATCAGAGATCTCGCGGACCTCGCCGAGAACAGCAGCACACAGATTCATCATCATAAACACACAAGACTTCCCGCTAAGGGAAGCTGGTTTGCAGTCTACAATCAGGCTGCAGGTTGTTTCAAGCAAAAGGTGCAGAGAAGCTGAAAGCTTTCTTTTCTGACTCTGTTCTTCTTGACTCATCCTTCAGAACTCAAAGACAGGAGAGGTCGACCAAAATCATTGTAATCATCATGTCTTTGTAAATGAAGAAATACGTATCTATCTAACACAGAAATGTAATCTGGTTCTTTGGTTAAAATGTGTTTTTAAAGATTTATTTTTTGCCTTTTTTGCCTTTATTTAGACATAGGACAGTGGATAAAGTCAGAGATTGGGGAGAGTGGGGACGGACATGCAGGAAAGGAGCCACAGGTCGGATTTGAGCCCGGTCTGCCTGCTTGGAGGACTTCAGCCTCTGTACACTAACCACTAGGCTACCAGCAGAGATTTAAATGAAATTACACTTTAACCCTGCTTATTTTTTGACCTGCAATGACATTTTCTCATCACTTGGGGTCAGCAGAGAGTCAGAAATACTTTTTTTATACCGTCACAGCAGGAGAAAATATAGAACTATAAACTATAAAATAAATATATAATGAATATATAATTCAATAAAATCTAAATAAGCGATAGGTACCAAAGAGAAGATTATCTTCATCAGTATTTACAGATAAACTTGTGCCGGGTTGAACAGTGTTGATATCAATGACGACCAGCTTGTTTCAGACCGCAGGAACTTTTTCACAGTTCTAGGAACTGTTGGAAACCTCCTCCTTTTTTATTGATTCCGCACCGCAGGAACAATGAACTACTTCAGTTCCTAAAAACCTGTTTAGAGGAACATGTTTAGCTTCTGCATCAGAGTAGGAACTATGGCGGTGCGAAAGCAGACGGAAAGAAAAGTCGCTCCTGAGTGGACCGTGTTTACAGACAGTTTGCACGATCACAGTAACATTACACAACGGAGGAGTTTCCGGTTTGAGTTTTAATAAGTCCACGTGAGAAGACGTTATACCTTAAAGTAGTGTAAGGAAAATTATTTTTCTGTTTTGCATTGAAGGAATAAAGAAAATACATTAATTTCCCCTGGCTCTTATTTTCGAAATTCAAACTTTTGGGGGATTTAAACTCATTCTACACACAGAGTATTTTATGGTGCAGTGGTTAGCGCTGTTGCCTCACAGTGAGGAGGTTCCTGGTTTGAATCCCTGTCTGTCAGGAGCCTCTCTGTGTGGAGTTTGCATGTTCTACCTGTGCATGTGTGGGTTCTCTCCAGGTACTCCGTCTTCCTCCCACAGTCCAAAGACATGCTCCATAGGTTAACTGGTGACTCTAAATTGTCCGTAGGTGTGAATGTGAGTGTGGCTGGCTGTCTGTCTCTATACGTCAGCTCTGTGATTGACAGGTGAACAGTCCAGGTGAAACCCTGCCTCTCGCCAAATGACAGCTGGGATCAGCGCCGTGTGACCCCGAATGGGAAAAGCGGTATAGATGATGAAGTGTTTTATCCTCAACATCTCGACCATAATCTCAGTGTTTCTCAAATATTCCTGCAGATTTTACCGTATACTACTACTATTTGGAATGACTAAAAGTTTCAGAATCAAGCTCAGGTAAAAAAAACAATAAACAATAATAACACATAATAATTCACTCTGTGTGTCGTAATGAAGCATCAAACTCACCAGAAGCTCTCGGTACTTTGGCCTTTTAGATTCATCCTTTGTCAGGCTGGATGGAAAAAACAAACAGAAATAATCCGTCAGCATCACAGGAGAGTTTGATTACAGGGATATAAAGACAGAACAGCTGATTAGTGGAGACCTGAGAGCCTCTTACAGATTAAAGACCCTGACACACCAAGCAGACGGCAAAGAACTAGTGGTGACGAAGGCCAACTGTGGCGTCGCCTCACGCCACCTCACGTCTTGGCCAAAAACTTGCACTTGAACACACCGCAAAGACTACAGCCGACGGCCAACCACCACGTACGTTCGTATTATAGGGAGCCTACTAATGGAGAATAATGTCTGATAAAAAGTTGAAAATGGCGCTAGGTGTTGTCAGCCCTTGGTCTTTTAGTGGAAAAAGAAAAGAAAAGGCAGAGGAGACAAATAAGGAGAAACCGCACTAATGGGTGAAAGCATGGATACTACAGCGGCATGCTCAAGGGGCTTTCCTGAACCTGTGATGAGAGCTGGAGAGAAATGAAACCTCCCAACAGCCAATCAGAGAGATCCCTCTCAGCGACGCCGGCAAAAAAAAGGCTAACGGGTAACAATGGAGCTGGACACACCACAAAAAGTAGGGCGACGATCTCCTTGGTGTGTCAGGGCCTTTAGGGGTAAGTGGGTCAGGTTCTCTACAACTTCCCCACTAGGTGTCACTAAATCCTAAATCAACTCCTTAAAGTGGAGAGACTACAGAGAGTCCATAATCCTGATGTTGATGACGAACACAGAATAAAAAAATATATATCAAGGAATGGAATGAAACTCTCGCTTTCTGACGGTCATTTACTATTCCTCCACTCCCTGTTGTGTTCAGTTCTTTAAATGAGATCTCAGATTTCAGTGTTTTAAATTTGACTTCACTGTAAACGAGAAAAAGCGTAACTGGTTTTTAATTACACGTTAAGTTTTAGCTGATCAGAAACTTTGAATATTTCCCATTACAGAACGATCGTGTTTTTCTCACCAGAGGTTCACAAAGTTGATGAACTTTGGGGAGAACTGTCGCTCCTCTGAGTTGCTGAGCTGCGGCGGTTCACCTTTGACCACCTGAGTCAGCTGATCGAAGACGCTGTTCCACTTCGGGTACGGGAACCGTCCTGTGGCCAGCTCGTACTGAAAAACACACACATGCACAGGCACACGCACACGCACACAACAAACACACACAAACACCTGTATGTTTAGACACACGCAGGTAAAATAAGGTTTAAAAAAAGGTAAATCTAAAGCTGACGTCTTCGTTCTTCTCACCAGCGTGATCCCCAAACTCCAAACATCGGAGCGGACGTCGTAGCCCTGACGGGACGCACTCGGGTCTATCCTCTCCGGCTGAAATACACACGAGAGAAGACGCACACACAACACTTCTAATTATTCATTCAACAGACAGCGAGATCAAAGAGCGTGGGGGCTGCTGTGGCTTAGTTGGTAGAGTCATCGCCCTTCAACCAAAAGGTCGAGGGTTCAATCTCCAGCTGAACCATTTGAAGGTTCAACCAACTTTGTGTCATGAGGAAAAGTCGTGACAGGAAGTCTTTGTGTATTACTGGATGAATGATCACGTCTATCTGACAGTGAATCATTCTTACCGCCATGTACGGCCTGCAGCCGGCGTCTCTAGTCTTTGCTATGGAGTCGACGAGCTGACCGCTGATCCCGAAGTCACACAGCTTTATGTTCCCTCGCCGGTCCATCAGAATGTTGGAAGGTTTGATGTCTGACAAATAAAATGCATGAAATAAAAAACTGAAACATTTTCATCATATTTAACCAAATAAATACATAAAAAAGTGGATTTTTTTTAAGATGTAGAAACATATTTCCTCAGACTACACGAGATGTTAAATTATTCAATGTTTTTTATCACTATTAATCACATGTTTGAAATTCCATTCTTTTGCATTTAAAACAATGTTTGTTCTGATTTACTGTATTTGTCTGACACTGTGCGTTTGCGGTATAAAGTTTGAAGTGTTTGTTCGAAATTTTAGCTGAAACTTTTTTGGAAACAGCACCTGAGCGTTTGATGTCGTGTCGCATCAGGCATGATCGCACGCTCGCTGTCCACACTGAACCTGTTAAATATTTAATTCTCTGCTCTGTGAATTTCAGTTTCCTCTTGTAAACATTGTAAGATGTGGTGCTTTTATTTTGAAGGCGGACAAACTGAAGTGTGGTTCTTTTATTTTGAAGGTGGACAAACAGAAGTGTGATGCTTTTATTTGAAGGTGGACAAACTGAAGTGTGGTTCTTTTATTTTGAAGGTGGACGAACAGAAGTGTGGTGCTTTTATTTTGAAGGTGGACAAACAGAAGTGTGATGCTTTTATTTTGAAGGTGGACAAACAGAAGTGTGGTGCTTTTATTTTGAAGGTGGACAAACAGAAGTGTGATGCTTTGTATGGAGGAGCTGTTAAACCTGCTTAAAGGGCTCAAAAAGTCAGCGAGAGATCCTTGATGCACTTGTTGGTCCGTCAGTGGAACAACCCTGAGCCCTCACAGCAGGAGCGTGCATCAAAGACAGCGAGTGTGTGAGGGAGGACATCGAGATTGAGCCGTAGACTCAAATCACATCACTCAGAGGCTCGTCAATAAACGGCTCGCTGTGAGCTGTGTGTCGTCATAAGTTGTACTCTATAAATATTGGACCCTATTGTTTTTATGAAACATGTGAAGTCTTACCTCTGTGGATTATTTTCAAGTTTTCTTTTAAATGGTTCAGTGCTTTAACCGTCTGTTGGAGACACAAACAAAGACATCAGTTCTCTGCACAGCTGCATTTAAAAAGGATGAAGTATAAAGTGACCCAGGCACTCACCGCTAATGTGATGTTTCCTAATATTTCCTCTGGAATGACGTCATCTGATGAAAAATATACATATTTGTAGAATTTGTCTAATGAGGTAGACATGAGCTCCATGCAGATCCAACAGTCGCCCTGAAACACAGAGGTCAGAGGTCAGAGGTCACAGGAACATTAAAGATATATGTTCCCACAGAAAAGCTGCTGTATTATGTTAGCATGCTGTGGTGCGTTCAGGGTCACTGATTTTCAGTCGTACCTCTCTGAAGAGTGCTCCGTAGAACTGGACGATGTAGGGACAGTCGCTGCTCCTCATCACCACGTCGAGGTCCATCAGCAGCTGCTTCTGCTCCTTCTCGTCCACCGTGGAGCGAATCCTCTGACAGACACACAAACACAAACACACATTTAGAGGGTCTGACTTTTTCTTTACTTACACTAAAGGAGCTATGTCTTCAGTGATGGATTTTCTTCATCTCCACTTTGTTTATATGCGTGTCTTTGATTTGATTTCGCCGCTGATCTGGATGAGGTAAACTCAGATCTGTCTTCGTGTACGAGTCTGTGAGCAGCTCACCTTGACAGCCATGATCTGTCCCGTAGGTTTGTGGACCATCTTGTTGACGGAGCCGTACGCCCCCCGGCCGATCTCCCCGAGGTCTCTCAGGTCCTCGGCCGTGAAGTCGCAGTGCTGCTCCGGAGAAATCTTCAGCTTCCCCGACGACTCGATGGAGTGCGTCCGCAGACGCTCTCTGACAGGAAGACAGACGGAGTTAGAAAAACAAGAGCAAGGAAGCCAGAGAAAAACAGACTAAGGAATATTAAATTATAGAAAGATCTTAAGGACTTTTTGATGGGAGTGAAATGAAGACGTCTGAAAGTACGCTGGAAAAAAAAGTCGAAAACTTCAATTAATGACTTACTCTCTCTGACGGATAACAAGTAAGAGCGTGTTCCTTCAAAATAAAATACAGACTTATACTAAAGTAAAGCTGCTCCATCGAAAATACAGACTTCACTGAGCCGACTTGTTATTGAGCACAAACACGGTCCCACCGTCAGCCGCCCGTACTCACATGTGGGGGTTCTGGAAGGAGGGGGGTGTGGGGTTGATGGGTAGCCTGGAGGCCGGCTTCACTGGAGGGTTGGCAAAGTTCAGCTTCAGAGCTTTACGTTTACCTGTCAGGTAGAAAAAAAGAGACACAGATCCAGATCGCACAACATGCCACACACCCACACACACACACACACACACACACACACACACACACACACACACACACACACACGGTGAGTCATCCTGCTGGTGCAAACAGCAGACACACACTCACACACACTGTGTGTTTTAATGCTCCTGTTAGCTCTGCCTGTTTGAACATGAGATAAACCTTTTCATCTGTGTGATTATAAGCAACATTAAGAATTGAATCTGACCCGCTTAGCAGCATCATAACGAGCTTTATATGTTAAGAGGTCAAAGGTCAGAGAGGTGAGGGTGTTTTCATCCACAGACTGATCTCAGGTTTATCTCACATTCTGCTCAGGATCAGAAGAAGCACAAAATGCATTTCAACACACACAGAGTGCCGACACTCGGGGTCTCCCAACACTCAGACACTACAGGGGCTTTGGATGTTCAGGATCCTTCAGGTCCAGATTCTGTATTTCCTCAAATAATAATAAAGGGTTTTTGTTCACCTCAACTAGAGCAGGAACCAGGGCGAACCATTAGAAACAGGCTAATATTTATCTGATTGTTCAGTATCGACATGAGTAATCTTTTACGCTTCATCTGCTTCTGCTTTTCCTCTGACATACCGAGCAGACGGCAAAGAACTGGTGGCGACGAAGGCTGACTGTGGCGTTGCCTCACGACGCCTATTGTCCTGGCAAAAAAAACGCACTTGAACACACCGCAAAGACTACAGCCAACCGCATGCGTGAGAGGAAACAACTGTCCATGCCAGCAGGCGACGGTAGTCTGTAATCGTCATTCCCCAAAAAAGGAGAAACCGGAAAAGAACGAGGAAGAACAGCATAGATATATAAACCGTTGTTATGATACGAGAAGACCATTTTCACACAGCCTTTTTTCTCAGGCTGTATTTGAGATCAGCTTTTATGTATTCATTTTGCTTCTGACTTTACTCAGGACCAGACTTTTATTTGAGGAAATACATTTTTATATATTTATCAAAGATGTTTGTGTTGCAATGACACAAAACGAGCCTTCCTGCAGAATCCTCGTGTTGGGAATCCCTGAACCAAAGACAATAGACTTAAAAAAAGAAAAGAAATGTGTAATCACAGCTGAACAGCTCCCGTCACATATCAAAGTGACCCAACACTTAAATCACACTTAATTCAACAGCATCCTTCACCCGTAGACGTTTAAAGGGCTCATAGACTGTGTATAAGAAGTGGGCGTGGCCTCGATGTGGTCGCTTTGGGGTTTGTGAACATTTTTCGCTTTTATCAATGTTGACAGGGAGCAGTTTTTAAAACTTGCATGTCGCTAGCTAGCAACACTGTTAGCCAATGCTAATGCCAATGCTACGTTAATAGGTAATGCTAATGCTAAGGCTAACAAGCTGCCTGCACTATTCACAGTAATGGTTTTATTACTTTGGATTCATAAAACCGTTTTTACACAAAATTTAGTTACCAAGAAATAAAAGCCTCAAGTATTTTATTGTACAGCTAAACGCTAAACAAGACACTATTCTGGTTGCCATGGTAATGACTTGTCACTGGAAGCCCCGCCCTTAACTCCTCCCCCTCTTCCTTGTCTCTCTGACTCTAAATGGGACCATCATTTACTAAACTACTACTGATGGAATTAATCAATGACAAGCAGGAACATTTTATCATAGACCCAGTTTAGCAAACAGACAAGTCTACCCCTGCTGGCCATTAGGAGGACTGCAGATTTATGAAATCAAGAGGCCAGTCTAGTTCTTATATACAGTCTATGATTTGAATGTTTCTGTAGAATAGATCCACCATGGGCTGGGTTTGAAGCTTCGTGCTGACTTTAAGTGTTGAGTCGTCTTTTCCTCATGCCCTCCTCAGCCAGCTCTTCAGTGCAAACAGATCCCTGAACCTCTGAGCCCTCGATGCAAATTCATTTCCTTTCTGCCAAAGCTGATTTTGTGACAGCAGTGAACAGCGGACAGACTCCCCCAAATACCAGAGCACCACACAGGCTGGTCAGTAGTGTACAGCGGCTTCCAGTGACAGAACAGAAACGCGTCTCAGAGAGAGCCGGCGAGGAAAGGAAACCACTTTAGACTACTGAGATGCACCCACAGAGTCCAAGGTCGTGTGCTTTGTGTGCGAAGTCTAGGGCTTACTTTGGGAAACACCAGACAGGCTTATCTGAAACCCTGAAGTAAAGAGAAAACATTTTACTGCATGTTCTTTGGGCTTGTTTGAGTGTGGAAGGGGCCTTATGAGCACGTCATCCCGGCATGATGGAAGTCCTGCTGCTGCTCTTCAGGAAAACGGTTCTTCATTCGTGTTCAGACCCGTTATTATGTGATTTACTCAAAATGCTGCTCATAGTTTATTGTTTCCGTAATTTAAAAACCTGTGAAGATTTGCCGCCAGATAAGTTGGTGTCTTTATTCAAAAAATCAACAAGACCCTTTCTCAGCTGGGTTAGTCTCAGAACCAGGTCCCAGTTTGATGACCTGTTAACTAGGATCAGTACCAGGTCCCAGTTTGATGACCTGTTAATGAGGGATACTTCTTCCCAGCAGCGGCGGCCAGTAATATAGCAATATAGCCCAGAGACGGTTGCTGCCGACATGCCGGTTTAGTTTCTCGGCTGCTGCGGGCAGATGACATGATTGGTCTGTAGCTTCAGTGGTCAAAAATATGAGGAACTAGCGTTGTAGTTTCACCCCGCTAACCGCAACAGCTTCCAGTGACGCAAAAATCGTAATTTATGCGTCACTGGAAGCTGCTTTTCAGACTTAAAAATACAAAGATTTCCCATCTCAGGGGAAAATGAGGGCGGGATGCACGACCATTCAAAAATACTACCAGGTTTCTAATGATACAAAGCTTAATGCAAATGTGTGAAGTATCCCTTTAACGAAGTGACCGCCCCTCTGTACCGTCTTCAAAGGTAGTAACAGAGGCGTTACAGAGACGAGACGGTTTTAACAGGGGAGAACAGCGCTGTGTGTGTGTGTGCATGTCTGACTGTGTGCACAACTCTGAAAAAGCTAAAAAATGACGACGACTTGGAATCAATATGAATAAAGACGTAGTTTTTAAGAGTGTAGTTACGGTCTGAAAAGCTTCCATGCCACACATCTTTATGCATTCATTTTTCCTTGAGTTGAAGTCATTTTCCCCCGTAGGATTATTATATGGTGCATGACTCTTGATAAAGTTTGACTGAAGCTGAATGTCAACGGGTCTGATGTTTATCTATTACTTTAAGCCAGAAGAGCAGCAGCAGAGAATCATAAGAGTGAGATGTTTCATCAGAAGAAGAAGAGGCACATGTTGATCGTATTCAGACAGACAGGTGTCTCTTAAAGTGTAGACTAGAGTCTCATTAATCGGGGTCGGTCTAATGTGTCGCCATGGAAACCTGATTAAAAACATGCACATGTGAAGATCAGAACTCCAGATTGATATGAAAACAATAAAACAAAATTAGCATTCAGTCAAAGAAAGGAAATGATCAACAGAAGAAGAAGAAGAAGAAGGTGGATGAGGAACATTTGAAGGATGATTTTCTTTGTTGAACACAAAGAATATAAAAAAAACCTTCCAGACTGAGAGCTGGTAAAGTAAAAGTGAATACCTGTTTCGTTCTGACATCTCCAGCAGGTGTTGGTTTCTGTAAGGTTTAGATCAAACATTTCATACCAAACATCTGCCACATCACATCTGGTTCAAAGCAGCTCTGACCTGTCACTGTTCATGACTCTTTATCAGGACATTCAAAATTAAAATACAAAATATCATCTGTTAGGCCCCGTGCCCACCTGCCGTTTTTTTCTGAGCGTCTTTTTTCAATTGTTTCTAATGAGTAGAGAGCGTTCGCAGCAGCAGGCGGCGCTCCGAGCGCTCAATCTTTCTTCTTTTCAGAAAGGCACTGTTGATGTCACCGGAGTTCTTTTCTAAATGTATGATATTCCCCATAGTTTTGTCTCCTAAAGATCGTGTCTTGTCCCTACATCCTCCCCGCTCCGTGTCGGATCGGGAAATAAACAATCTCAAATATAAAACATGCAGTAAAAAGTAATTGAGCATTGTCGGTCATACAGCGGCCGTTATCAACAGACTGTTGTCATGGAGACAGGACGGACGAGCTGCGTTTTTCTTCTCATCGCTCAAACGCTTCATGCAAACACTCCCGAGTGCACAGCCGGAGCTTTTCTGCCCGGAAAAATGCTAGGTGGACACAGGGCTTTATCCAGCAGCTAACATCTGTAACATCCATTATTCAACACCAGCCTGACGTGACAGCCTCTACGGCCTTTAAAACATCAGACATCACATCACATGAATAAAGAGTCGGATGGTTGTAAACCTGGACGTTAATATATAAACAGAAAATTAACGTAAAGTACCAAAAAATACGCAGAAACACACAGAAAGCGGTCCCCTAGCTGCTGAGCCAACAGCACCAAATGTAGATTTGGAAGTAAAATTTGAAAGTTGGAGAAGTGAATAAATTCTATGCTATATTTTCTGAACTACATACACAAACTTTACTCAAAGAAAAATTGGGCCCCTGAACACTGTTTGGAGATATAAAGCTACCAGGAGAGTTACGCTTTCACTGTTGTGGGCCATCCACCATAACTTCTCACGTAGCATTTTATCTTCAAACAGTTACAGGGACCACATGTTCCTCTGAGGACAGTTTGTGTACAGAGTTATGAACATTTACCTCAGAATCTGTACACTTCTACAACTTTCACATTTCTCCACTAAAACTACATAGTACACTTTAAATGAAATAAAATCTTGATATTTATCAAACACATTAACGATAAAGGTCTCTGACATCTACTGGTTATTCATCCTCAAAATAAAATGAATATTTACATGATAAATAAAGACCTTATGGTCTGGTCCTGACTTCACACTCTCTGGTCCTGACTTTACAGTCTCTAGTCCTGACTTTACAGTCTCTGGTCCTGACTTTACAGTCTCTGGTCCTGACTCTGGTCCTGACTTTACAGTCTCTGTCCTGACTTCACACTCTCTAGTCCTGACTTTACAGTCTCTGGTCCTGACTTTACAGTCTCTAGTCCTGACTTTACAGTCTCTGGTCCTGACTTTACAGTCTCTGGTCCTGACTTTACACTCTCTGGTCCTGACTTTACAGTCTCTGGTCCTGACTAACGTGAAGCAGAGAGGATCACTTCAGCGTAGGTAGGCCTCGGTGGTTGTTGTTCTAGCTTTGTGATGCTAATCATGTCTGTGGATTCACTTTTATTGGACGCGCCTTTAAACTAATGAAGTTTGTTTGATTTTTAAATTGTGTGTCTAGTAAAGTTTGTTCATTGTGGTACATAAAATCAAGAAACTTTACTTCATGTCTGTCGGCTCAGCAGCTAAACTGGAGCTTCTGCATCGCTGCTAGCCTGTTAGCCATGTAGCTTCGTCAAGCTAGCCGGTAAAAGCGCGGGCGTTAGCGGAAGTTGCACACTTCCGCCTTCAAAATAAAAGCCTATATGTTGATATGCACAACTAACACTACTGAAACTGTGTAGACCTCATTCCTGGGGGCAGATCTTTCAGGACAAACTATCTTAAGTTTATATGTAATAAAAGTTAAGTGTCCTTATTGTTCTGTGGATGCATTTCCATTAGCCTGCGTGAATATGACCGGTAAAAAGTGTTTAACTCTCTAATTGTCTGTAGAGGTAAACTCCTACACACTAACCAAATTAGACATATATGACTGAAGATTTGGATATCGATACTATTTATCCACTGTCACAATATCAGTTTATATACTGTAATTTAAAAACACAGGATAATGAAGTAACCCATAAAGCATTTTGACAACTTTGCAACGTCTTTAATGTGATGCCACAGATTAATGGCAGAGAAAAGGTCTTTAGTATTCTTGTTTTGTCTGAGTGTAGCTCTTTAAAGTCCTTCAGTGTTTTTGAAAAGAGCTATATAGATAATACGCATTACTATGCATTATTAAAACTAAGATTCACAGACCTCATAGTTCCTGCATAGCCCTAAACACAAATGAAATTATATTAAAATATTGAGAGCAGACTGTCACTTAAAAGAACCAGATCAAAGCTTATAATTTACATTAACATCACTAGAACATTATTAAAAACGTAATTAACTTCTATATTTCTGAAAATAAACGATAAATGTTAGCTAGAGGGGCCTAAGGGAATTTATTTTGAAAATCCAAGCCGGACGACGCACGTGTTCCTGTTTAGCTTTACTGTGGTTTCTGTGAAGCTACGAGTTCCCCTGTCCCACTAACTCCAGTGTCCCCAGTTAAAACATAACCCAGGGGTTTGTACCTTGCATGCTGCTGCTCTGAGTCTGCGGGTGAAAATGGTGCGACGTGGATCCGACGGTGTTTCCGGTGTTACTGGAACCGCTGGTGGAGCTGCTGGTGAAGTTGCTGTCCCGACTGGGAGTCGCCATTGTTGTGTTGCTGGTTCCGGCAGCAGCGGCCAGGCTGCAGTGCAGAGAAACTTCGCCCTTTCTGTCTCCACACGGGACACTGCGACACCTGAACGCATCAGCTGCACCACGGCCACGTCTGTGCCGCTGATGCCTTCATGGACGGTCGTAAATTACAGGAAACCACAGCTTCACAGCAAGATGATTGACATATTTGATTTATAAAGAATTACACTTATATTATACTACATATACATATTATATAGCTTACATTTATTTTAATTTATTATATATTTATGTATTGTTGTTTTCTGATCAGTTTGGTTGTTATACTTTTATTTGTGATCTAAATTAGCTGCTTAGAATAATTTGCGAAATTTTCAACAGTTTAAATATCTGTTTGTTATTTTAAATGCTGAATAAAGAACAAAAACAAGATGTTTGACTGGGCAGTAACCTCCGGTGTTTGAAAATGAAGCAGATGCTGAAGTGTAGAATCCTGCAGTTCCTTGATTGTCCACTAGAGGCTGGCTGCAGAAGCACAGGAAGTCACATACACACCCATTCAACAAAACCTTTTTTTTTTTTTTACAGCAGAGATTAACATGTTTACAGCCTGGTTCAAAAAACCAAACCTCTCAGACAGTTTGAATCACCCACCTTCCCTGTGGAACTTGAACGCAGCACAGAACGCCAGAGATGAACTACAGCTGTCATTATGATGTTTTATAGCATCTTGCATCGTTTTACGTCGTAAAACACAGAATTGCATTTTTAAATCAATCCACATCACCCGACACATCCGTCAAAAAAACAACAGAGTAAGAAAATAAACCAGCGCTGCTTTGAAAAAAAAGGCAGCAGTAGAAAATAACCTCCTCCATCTTAAAATCTGAGAGTATAATTATTCAAAGTGTGTCATTTTACCTCTGGAATATAAAATAATCAAAACAGGAGAAATATCCCCCTCTCTGTCAGAATTAAACAATAAAAAGTAGAAAAAGATAATCAGAGGTACTGTTTCTGTTCAGCTGAGGTAATTCATCACGACTCTGCATTTAAAACATAAATCAACATGAGGCTGTGTCCAACAGAAGTTAAAGATGTCAGCGTCTCTGGTGAATGTTTGTTAAAGTGAGTAGTTAACACAGACGAGCAGCGCAATCATCTTTACTAAATTAACTGATTCTTTTGGTGCTGTTTTAGGCGCCTATGGACTGTTAATGTCCGTTAAACTCACACACAAACACACACAGTTCTCCCTCGACGGTGTGTGTGTGTGTGTGTGTGTGTGTGTCTGCCGTGCAGGTCGTTTTTTTTTTTTTTACTTCTTCAAATTAAGGAAATAAAATAAATCTGAATGTCTGTCTTTGAATTCAAAGCTAACAGATATTTATTTTAATCCGTGAATCTGTCATTGCATTCGTCATGTTGCTCCTGTGGTCGCCACGGAAACAGGAACACCCGATCCCGAACCCTCCCGTATCCTCTCAGCTCCATCCTGTCCTCGTACACGGAGACGGTGGCGAAGGCGTTGCTGTCGGGCGGAGTCTCGATGACGCCCTCCAAGGTGAGGTGGTGCGTCCCCGTGTCTTCGTCTTTGTGGTATCCTCCTTCGTGGTCGTGCCCGGCCATGAAGCACACCACACAGCGGTGAGAGCGGAGGACGGCCAGCAGCTCGTCGTAGTTCCAGGCGAGGCAGATGGGGGTGGTGGAGTCAGGGTGGACGGGGAGGTGACCTGAGCGAGGGAAGAAAGAAAGAAAGGACACTTTGAAAACACCTGAAGGACCGACCATGATGAACACAACATGACATCATCATCACTTCTCCCTCGCTGACGAATCAAAATAGAAAAGGGGCGGGACTTCTGATATGCGCTTCGTCAACAACAACGGCGAGGAGGCGCTCGTCTGACTCGTCTTTTGGAGGAAACAGTTTCAGGTGTGGAGATGATGCTGACGTCAGGACACTTTTACATCCATGTTTTTCTTAGTGAGATTTATATTTAATTTAAGTAAAAATGAAACACAGAGCTAAAACACACCTGACGGACATTACAGAGGGACGTTGGGGATAACTTTGGTAACCTAGCAACAACGAACGCTGGTGAGAAGCGCTCTGAAGCGGAGGTCGCAGGCGCTACGGACAGCAGGAATACTCACAGACGACAGTGACTCGGTCCTGTTTCTCATCACATGACGACAGAACAGAATCAAGCCAGTCCAGCTGGACTTTACTGAAGCCTCCGTTAAACATCGTGTATCTCTCCTCCAGACCTTTGAACACTGAAACACAAAAAAGTTAACATCATCATCATCAGTCTCCTCGTCCTCTGTGTGTCACCGTGGTGGTCTGATGAAAAGAGAGGATGACAGGATCGTCTCTGGAGGCCTCACAACAAGACGGGGAGATTCTCTGAAAAAGCGAATGGTGCGTTCAATGTTCCTCAGAACTCGAATCTCGGGACTTGGAATGACGTCACACCCGAGTTATTGGCGTTCCAGTTGCAAGTCAGTTAAGCAACATGGACGCCTCCAGACCTACCTTTGTTTTGATAGCTAATACCAGACGAGAACGACACACTACACGGTCGTTTGTGCGTGAAGATAACACGACAACATGTCCACAGGTAGAAGTTGCTCGATACTTTCAGTGTGATGGATTTAATGACACTAAAAGAGGCGTGTGTTGCTAATTGTTACCGTTTTAAACATTACTGCTGATGCACTTAGCAGCCATGTTGGAATCTTAACTCGGAGTACTGAAGTTGCTCTGTGTTTCCAAGTCGGAGTTCCAACTTCAGGAGGCGTTCCCGATGACGTATCACACCAGTGTTTGTAATTTATGACCTCCGAGATCAGATGGAACGCACCAAAAGCTGAGGTACGCAGACGAGGATAAAGACCACGTGTGAAGAGTTCTGAGGGACCAAAGTATTCTGAATAGTTCTTTTTTTGTTTGGCTCTCCTGAAAATGACGTCAGAAGTCTGAACTGAAACTCTGCTCTGACTTTGTCCTCAAAATCAAACTTTAAACTCGAGATTCTAAAGCTAGGGTATCTTCTGTGACTTTGACAACACTGTCGCTGTCTGCTGCTCTTTACACATAAACACCAACACACCTGAACACACCTGCTGTGAGTCCGTTTACTACATAGCTGACGCGGCTATCTCCATCTAGCTTACAATCCGCTTACCAAATAAGAGGACGGTTGGCTGTGGAAACGCCAGCAAAACCAGGGTTAACCGTACTGAACTGGACTGCTTGGTGGAAACAGGGATTTATATACCTTAACAACCTTCAGGTACAGGGGGGGGGGGGGGTCCCGTCTCTGGCACCATTATTTTGGGGGTCCAAAGCTGAAAAATGTGTTCTTTCTGGGGTCCACATTAAAATAAACATACAATAACAGGAGTATTAAAATGGAAAATGAAACATAATTAAGCTCTTCAGTCCACACAAACCAGAGTTGTCAGAATTTTACCACAGAAATGTAATTCTTCTTCTGTTTTCAAAATTTGATTTTTTTTTTTTTTTTTTTTTATCAGATTTTCTTTTAACATTTTTTTAGATGTGGTCAAAATCTGTCTGTTATTTTTTGCATTGGTTTCTCTAAATTAACAGTCAAAATAAAAAGTTATAACAATATAATTAATCGATATACATTAGTTGTTTGAAAACAATAAAACATAAGGGCCGCAGTGATGTTGGTAACCTTGGTAACCGTGGTAACCGTGGTAACCTACCCGGACAGTTGAGGTCGTCGTTGTCGTTGTGTTCTCGGATCAGACTCAGGGAGTCTCGGTACCGGTCACTGCTCTCCTCTCTGCCCAGCAGACTCACATCGTAACCGTCCAGAATAACGAAAGTAAAACCGGGCACCGGGCTGAAGCTGTACGCGTACACCTCACCGTCAGCCGGTGCTGCGTTCACGCTCCTCTCGGAGTGTAGAGTGCTGTTGAGCCGTGAACGCAGCAGCTCGCTCCGGCTGAAGTTATAAAACTCGTGGTTCCCCCACACATGGTGGACCTCGGCGGGCCCGGAGCTGAGCTCGGTCAGCACCGTGTCCAGAGCTCGGTGTGAGGTGTCGTGATTCTTGTTAAAACCGTCAATGATGTCTCCGAGCTGGAGGATAAACTCCGGTTTCACGGTGGACTCTCTCCAACAGTCTATGGCGTTTTTTAAAAGCTGGAGGCTGCTCCGGTAGTACCTCCTCCGGGTCCGGGTGAAGTTAAACCCGTCGTCGATATCTGCGTACTGAATGTCCGCTATCACCCCGAAGGTGAAGAGGGGCGTTTGTTCGGGACAGCTCTCCATTCTCGGTGAAACGTCTGTCAGGGTATGTTTACTGACTCTCCGGAGAAATGTAATGTTCCGGGAAACTCCGAACACATACCTGTACGGTGTGAATAACGTCACATGGTGAAACACAGCCAGGCTGTTGGTATTGTGTTCTGTGTCCTCAGTCGTGCTCATAGGTCGTGCTGCATGATGACAGTTCAAAAAAACAGCCTGTTATGTGTAATGCCGGTGACAGCTGAGACAAAATAAAAGCACGGACTTCCGGTTTAAGCCTACAAAATAAAGTTTCCAGTCAACCTGAATGCAGGGGAAATCAATATAAGAACGAGTGGAACTGGAAATTGTACACTTTACGTACATACTGTTTGCACGGGAGATCAAATAAAAAGAAATCAATGAAAACATTAATACCAATCCTGAGAAGTTAACTTTATTTGAATAAAAAAAGCCCCTAACTCTTAGGGTGTAATATTAAAAGTGATGTTCGTCCTTACATCCCGAGGATACTTCACGTTCTCGGGTTGATTTTCTTTAGCTGAATTCATAGTTTTCTTTTATTAAAATAATTAATCCTGACAAATCCTTTATCCTCCCCACAGGTTTTTCGACACATTAACGATGTTATCAACTTGTGAATTAAAGTGAGGGCAGTTTGAGTGTTTGAACATTTCCAGAAGCCAGCCTCAAAGAATGAGAAGTTTGAAGTTTTGAAGGTGGCATCACAGTAATGAAATCATGAACTACAAAACCCAAGAGGCAGAAACACAACATGTTTACATTTAGTAAATAGTTACAAGAATGAATGAATCATCAACCATACCGAAAGAATCTGTTTAGAGTCCCTACACCCACTGGATATATTCTTTGTATATATATATATTTGGGGTTCTTCCTTTTTGTTCAATTGTTTGACATTTATTAGATAAATTTCTTGTTTTTCTCTACATTACCACAAGGGGATGCTGCTCTGTACGAGAAGCACACACTTTTAAACTTCCATCCATCCATTCATACACATTCACACACTGATGGTAGAGGCTGCTGTGTAAAGAGTCCATGAGTATTAACTCATCCATTCATACACATTCACACTTGTCTTGCCCAAGGTCACATCAGACATATAGCTGCAGGAGCTGGAGATTGAACCCCTCATCTTCTGGTTCAGAGAAGATCGACTCTACCACTGATCCACAGCCGCCGCTGTTGGTCTGTTGCCTGTTGGTGATATTTAACGGTCATCACACCAAAATATCTCGACTGAAACGTTGGAAATAAAAGCTTAACATGTTTATTTACACGTTTATTCATACATTGCAAGACATATTTTATTATTTGTGAACAGATTGTGGTTTGATCATGGTGAGTTCTCTGCTCCCTCCTCTGCTGAAGCTGTTTCCTTTTCTCCAGCTGACAAAAGAAAACACAAACAAACAGTTAGCTGGTGCACATTTTGATTCGTCCTCTTTTATTTGGCGCTCTTTCAGAGCTGTTTTTATATTTTGTCTGGGTCGCGCTGTAGCTATTAGTTCATTGAAAGCAACACTAAAAACTACAACTATGGCCCAGAACCAAACTCCATTATTAGCCAGAATTAAGCTGAATATCATATCTAAGTATGTACATATTGAAAGTGCGTGATTGATTCTAGCTCTGCCCCTGCTCCCTACTGTTATCCTGCTTTTATTGAAGTCCACCTGTAGAGTCTCTCCCTGGAGTCCATGGTGTCAGGCCGGTGATACACTTTGGGATCCACTTGAGGGTGGTGTTGGAGGACAACTCGCCCCACTCGCCCTCAGCTCGGTCCTGCAGAGAATGCAGGGAGAGAGAGAGACTTTGGAGGCAGCATGACTCTGTGTGCAACAAACTCCAGGCTCGCTCAAGATGCAACACACTGCAAAGTACATCTCCATCACTAAAAAACATGCACCGTCAAGCTTTTGTCAAACAATGAGCATGCATCCAAACCAAAGAGTGCAGCTGCGGAGCTGAAAGTAAGTAAATTACGAAATAAAGAAAGAAATAAAGAAGCTTGCACACATAAGATTTTAAAGGTCCACTTGTTAGAAACGTATCTAAGTGACGTTTTCAGCGAAACTGCTCTTCATCAGAATCAAAAGCAAAATGGCCGCTTTGATATGTTGACAACTGACACACGTGACAGTCATGCTCCTGCTCTGACAGACACATCATATAAATTGCATAGACACAACTGTAGCACTGAACTCAAAGGCTAGTGATGTATATCTACACCCCCGTTACGCCTCGTCTGCAGAGTGTAAGACCGGCCCTAATCCGCCATCTGAGGTAGTAACAGATGCGTAATGGGGGGAATGAGCTGGCAATGTGAAACGTCGGAGCCAGCAGGGCAGAACAGTGAGGTGTGTGTGCATGTTGGAGGGTATATGTATGTGAATCTCTTGCTGTGTGTCTACACGCGGTGCCTCTAGCGCTTCTGCAACGCTGTAACGCACTTTGAATCCACACACGAGGACCGATCTGACACTGTGGCAGATGAACTTGCTTACGGCTTTACGTAAAGGGTTAGTGACAATAAAAACATGAAATAAAAATCAGGTGTTGATACCGGCTGTCAGGCTTGAGGCGAATCATTAAGTCATGAGATGATTGAGGAGATGAGCTATTTTGTTTCTAAAGAAGGGCTCATAAATGTTGATTTTGGTCTGATGAATAGGAGTTATGTTCACTCTGAGTTTATATTAAAGGGGACATATTATGAAAAATCCACTTGTACAGTGTTTCTGAACATATATTTGCGTAACCTAAGTGTCTACTGACCCACAAAATGTGAATTAATCCCATCCAGTCCTTTGTTTGTAGTCTTACAACACAGAGAAAAATGCTCCGTTTCTAATTTGCTCTCCTTGTGATGTCACAGTGGGATTCTCATAAAAAAAAAAAATCCCCTCCCCTGGTATCTCCGACCATGGACTCCACCCCCAGCCTAGAGCAAAACTTTTGTGCATGTCCGCCATATTTATTCTTTTTTTTTTTTTTTTTTTTTTTTATCTTTTGTTTTCATTTGTATATATTAGGAGTGATGTGTACCGGGAAAACTCATCGTATCATCATCACATCATGCATGGAAAGACACTCTCGTAATCATCATGCAGGACACTGATGTGGCTCAGTGATTATTGTTACAGACATCACACATCTTCATCAGTCATATATAAACTCAGGTCCAGCACCTCCTCTGCTCCTCCTGCAGACCCTAACATGTGAGTCCCCTCTCTGGAGGCCATGTAGGGCGACCTCTGTGACTTCATATCTTTACCGTTCTCCTCAACAGTCGCCGGCTGGAGTCGAGACAAGTTTGGATGGTTAAACATTGTGTCTGTGTGTCATTATGACTGGTATTCATTTGGAGTGTCGGATTGAATCCACATTACTGTAAAGCCTGCAGGGACATCAGCGGAAACTGTTTCATTACCTGCTCTGTTTGTTGGAATTCTCCGTGCTGCTCACACCCGATGTCAAACACGTACCTGCCCGGACCGCACGGCTGTAAATCATAGAACGCACAAGAACCAGAGAGAGATTCAGGACTAGATGTATCTGAAATCTGAGATAATTCACCAACAGACACTAAATATGACCAGACATGAAAAATGATGATTTTAAATAAACCAGACTCTGGATACCGTCCCATCAAGTCAAATATAATAAATGTTTTCATCATTTGGCCGAGAATGTTTGGGAACAATGAGAGCAGGACTCACGTAGTTGTTGACAAAGCTGCCCTTGTATTGGTGGTGGGTGTGGATGTACTCTCCAGCTGACTCCATCTTGCCATTTACCCATGATCCTTTGTACTCTGCGCCAGTGTCATGATGGTGGTAAATGCCGTGACCGTGCCTGGAAATTAGACCACAGCAAAGATTTTGGCAAAGCATACGTTTGATAGAAATGATCAGGTTTTTCTTAGTATAACATTTCTGTAGTACATTAAGTGTCTGTTCACATTTGTTTATTTTTGTTTATTTATATTTTTTTTACAGTTTTCATCCTCCATACAGGAGTCTGTGCTTTTCAGCCTGCAGGTCTACCTCACATGCTGCAGCCACTCTCCATCATACGTGTCTCTGTTCGGGTAAGTATAGAGACCGTGACCTTGTCTCAGGTCCTCCACCCAGGAGCCTGAAAAAACACAGAAACAAGAACACGTTGGTGTCAGAGCTTCAGCTGGACTCTAAACCTAAAACCTAAACTTCATCATACCTTCATATTTGGATCCGTCTGGGTAGTAGAAAGTTCCCTGTCCATGTTTCATGTTCTGAAGATAATCTCCCACATATCTCGCCCCATTCTTAAAGCGATATGTTCCCTGTTGGTGAGAACAGTAAAAAATAAATATGCATCATGAAAACACTATCCTCTTACAGGCGAAATGATGCCACCTTCAGCAGCACCTCTCCTGCTTCAGAGTGTTTATGACTAGTGTTGTAGTACTTGAGATTGGTCTTGATCTGGTTTGAAGGTCTGTCTCGCCTTGGAATCAAAAGCATTTTTACTCGGTCTTGTCTCGATCTCAGATTGGGTAGACTTCGAATTTTTAATCAAGACCACCACTGATCTGCTCTTTTTCCACGTCATCACTGCCATTAGAAGGAAAAAGCTCCTTTCTAAAAGAACAAATAACTTCAATTCATGTATAATTTGATTTTTATCCCCCGCTTACGTCCGCGACTTTCCCAGTGTTACGGTCTAAGTGAGTGACACGTCCCCTGTACACGAGATGATGATTTTTCTGTGATATTATGGTCTTGCCCTGCCTTGGTCTCGGTCTTGACTCGGTCTCTGAGCACTCTGGTCTTGGGTATGTCTTGGTCTTGGATAGTGCGGTCTTCTTGACTACAACACTACTTCATTACCTCAGTCTTCATATTTTTAGTTTTAGTGTTAGAAATGAAGTTCACAAAAAAACGGCATAAAGCACTTTAACTACCTGAATTTCTCTGTTAATATCAATCAAGTTAAAACAATCTTATGTAGTTCATTATTCTCTCCGGCTGCTCTTACCTCTCCGTGTCTCTGCCCGGTCTCATAATGTCCCTGATAAACGTCTCCGTTAGGTAGAACTGCTTTACCGAATCCGTGTCTCTCCCCTGCTTCATTTCTGTCTCCTTCATATTCCTAGACACACACACACACACACACACACACACACACACACAGCAGCTGTTATCAGGTGACAGTCATGCTAACCTACGTTAGCTTTAGCTAGCGAAAGTTATCACACACAAACCACATCTAGCAAACAAAAGTCATCTTATTATACTTCTCTCACCCCGAGTTTATTTTGTTCATCATCAAAGTCATCAGATCCGATATAAGACATGTTTTACCAGTCAGGATGTTATAAAGTTGAAGTATTAGACCGAGAGGTAAAAGTGTTGAAGATGCTCTGTGAACTCTCAGCGCTCCTGGTAGTTGACGGTTGTCATGGCAACGGTAAATTCCCCCACGTCAACGTGCCGGTGTTATGGTTTAAGGAGTGTCCGTGTTAATTGGTGACTTTCACTCAAACGCGTCAAAAGAAAAAGGAGAAAATTACACGTTGCAATTATCGTGTTACGACAGACGTTAGAGACAATAATGATGAGTATATGTTTTAAAAAAAACCTAAACAAACAAGAATTTGTTAAGAAAGCAGACACAAAGTTACCAGTTAACACGGTCACTCATTAAACCATAACACCGGTTGCACATTGACTATCAGATACGTTGCCCTTGATTCATTGCTTCAAAAGTTTCACTTAAGAATTAAGTATCTTAAACTTTTGTTTTAAGTTTTGTTCAGTACAGCATAATGTTCATTTAGTGCTTAATCCAACAATTAGAGGCAAAATGCCATCTTATTTAGCCTTTGCAGTACCAAAAGACCTTAGTCAAAAGGACCATCTGAAAAAGTACATGAAATATGGATAAGCTAGCACTAGCTTTAGCTGTTAGCTTCTTTTTTTTCATTAAACTTTATTAACATTACATTACATTTACAATGGATTTCCTACAACACAGAAACATGTGAGTACAGGAAGACATTAAACTTACTGTAGCCTACAGAAAGGATCATGCATACAGTTACAGGTATAAAAAACAATATGAACAGCAAATAATATAGAAAATAACGCATTAATTAAAGAAGAAAGCGGGTCAGTAACACATTAAAATAAGTTTTGCACATGGCCGCGGCTACTATTCTGCAACATAATTACATACAATTTACAAATAATCAATACAATAATGAAATAAAGTGAATCATGCAACAAAGTGGCAACAAGCAAACAGAATTTTATCCTACAGATCATCAGAAAAACTTGACAGAGTTTCAGAAAGTGTGAGAATGTGTATTTACAGATATCTTACTCGGAAGTTATAGTTAACATGATAGTGCTTCTTCTGGCTAACAATATGTTGTTTCTCAGCAGTGACAATGGAGGACACTGTGGTTTATTTTTTATCTGGAAGGTAAAGGGCTTTTCATTACAATATTCTTTCATTATTATCGAGAAGATGGCTGCAGTATTTGTACTGTGAAATGTTCCTGTTTTGTCCTAGATGACTGAATTAGCATTATTTGGTGTCCAACATAAATGAAAGAGATGCACACGAGGAATAAAATCCGAAAAAGTCTCTGCGGTCCTGAATATTTTTATTATTTGCACTGATTCCCAGGGTGAGAGAGCGCTGAGGAGAAAAGGCAGACAGTGAGGCTCCACAGCTCAGGTCGTGAGTCGCTGCAGTTGGCCTGTGTGTGATGAAGCCTAATGTCTGTGGGGACAAAATTATCTCCTGAACCTCTCAGTCCTGCCCTGCAGTGAAATTTAATGAGCAGTCTACTGCAGTTACTTCTCTGGACGGCCATAATGTCATGGAGAGGATGGCTAACATTGTCCGATATAACCTGTCCTTCCCTGTGCACGCGTCTCTCCACCTCAGTCCTCAGTGAGTCCTTACTCTTGCCTAAAACTTAGCCAGCCTTTTTTATCAGCTTGTCAAGCCGCTTAGTGTTCTTGTCAGTCATGTTGCCCCCAACAGACCACACCATAAATGGGACAGTCCCCGACTCCCACCACTGACTGGTATTAGAACATATTTAACATTTCACTGCATATGTCAAAAGACCTGAGCCTCCTCAGGAAAAAGAGTGTCTCTGTGTCTTTTGGTAGCCTAAGTATTCACAGTCCAGTCCGCTGTGTGGTGCAGGTTATTGCGTGGATGTGGGCTGCTTTTGATGATAATTCTACCTCATGGAGGAGCCTCCATTGTTAACAGCTGTCCATTAAGCATTATCAAAGTGCATCTGGTACAGATAATAGACCGCTGATTAGCAGCCCTTTATTTAGACAACTTGAACTTGACTTGACATTAACTCATAAGCTGTGAGATTTCGCCATCTGTTGCATTAAAGATTAGAATAAACTCTGGTTGAAATCCTCTGCATTCACGTCGGCTTTCTGAGACTCACAAGGAAAATGTCTGAAGCAGTTATTCAATTAGTAGAAACACTCATGCAGGTTAAAAAAGGAAAATGAAAAAGCCTGCGGTGGTAATCCACATTGCATCATTGTCCTTAAACTGATTGTCCTTCAGGGCAGGCCCCAAGAATATCTCCCTCCTCTTTTTTCCTTAAAGTGACTCAGTAACATGTTTAAGATGGGGGAAGATTCAGCTGAAGGTTCATTGGCTGCTTGTTCATGATTTAACACCCTTTTTGTCAGTTTACATATATCTAATCCCCTCACAACAAGGATTAGGCGACAGTCTGAAGACCTCATATCAGTCAAAGCTAGTGAACTGACAGCATTTAAACACATTTCAAAGTCGATTTACCGAGAATATGAAGGGAGATATTATATTATTTTCCCCAAGAAGTACATGAGAGGGTCAATATCAAATTTATGTCTTTGTTTTTTATACTCGCAGTAACTTTCAGAGCGGAAAAATGAAGACAATAAAGAGCTGCAGTTCCTCCAGTGTCCACTAGAGTCTGTCTCCTGCAGTGAGTCAGTCCTCATAGAGCTCCATGTTGAAATGTCCAACTTTACAGCTGCAGTTCCTCCAGTGTCCACTAGAGGCTGTCTCCTGCAATGAGTCAGTCCTCATAGAGCTCCATGTTGAAATGTCCAACTTTACAGCTGCTGTTCCTCCAGTGTCCACTAGAGTCTGTCCCCTTAGAACCCCATGTTAAAATAAACATGTTTACATCCTGGTACAAAAACATTTTGGGTCTCTAGAGCTCATTTCCATCTTCAACTGTACGGGTGGGATGTTTATACAACTCACCTGTTTACATTAATTAAGGCTTAAAGTAGGATTTGGGGCGTGGCCTTTCTGAGGGACAGGTAGGAACTCATTGTTTCCCTATGTTTTTAACTTTGTATTGACTTTATAAGGTTAACATTTTTACCACAACACATTTTAGATAGTATACCTTGATGTCAGAGGTAAATAAGATTAGTGGGGACAGTATATGATGATCCTTTGTGTGTATGCACACAAACTTCATTCCACCTCAGCACAAGTTGGGGCCCAAGTTAGGAGGCACGCACACTAGGACCAGTTTTCCTATACCGTTCTGAAGAACTATTGTCCCCCCCGCTGGCCTGCACTCACAGGGCCTGAGCACGGTTCCCTTTTCTACATAACGTCGTAATACAACACATGCACACAAACTTTACGTGATCATGAAGCGTGCTAAGACAAGCAGACTCGAAAATAAATAAATAAATGATGAAGGCTGTCCAGGTTTCATACCCGGGGCTGAAGACACCTCTTCCAAGTGTGCCAGGGCCAAGGAACGGAGCACTCACACAAGTCAAACAAACTGGACTTTAGGGGTTAGCTTAAGCGTGGTACAGATTGCCTAGTGTGAGTGCACCCTAAAACAGCCTCAGCTAAAAAAAAAAAGTCTGTGTTTGCCCCTGTTGGTGAAACTAACGAGTGTAAACAAAAACTTCCTCTCTGAGTGGTGGTGGGATCATGTTAGGGCGGTGGGCAACCGCCCCAAATGTATGGTAGGGGAAGATGGGAGACGTGAGCTAATCAGACCTATTATGCTGTAAAAACAGGCTTTTTTGAATGAGTGTATATGTGACTTCCTGCGCTTCTGCAGACAGCCTCTAGTGGACACTCGAGGAACTCCAGGATTTTTTACACTTCTACATGGGCTTCATTCTTCAACACGGGAGGCTGCTGCTAGCCCAGGAGCTTACTTTGTTAGCCGCCATATTCAATTTCTCAAAAATTGTAATGAAATCAGAATAAATGTTTTAGAAAATATCACTTTGTTTACAGTGTTACTTGATGTATTGCTAATTCTTGTAAAAACGCAGACCTGTATTTGAAATCATTATAATAATACTTCCTAAATGTTCCTTCTAAAACAGGTTCCTCTTGTTCTCATGCATTCATTATTTACATCAAGTCCTGTGTCTCGTTTGAAAGTCTGCGGTATGACGATGTGCCTCTCTGTTGAACTTGTATTATTCTCCCATCCTGCAGTGTCCCTCTTTGGGACGATGATGGCAGGACAAAAACGAGGCCTCCAAATCTCTGACACGACCATTAGTCCTCCGTAATCTCTAAAGCCGCCCCAGAAGGATCCTGGGGGAATTTCTGTCGGGGGATTCATCAGCTATGCTTTTATTTATAAGCCCGTCAAAGCAATCACAGGATGATGGATGGATTCTGTGTAATATTTAAAAATCAGCTAATAATCCTCAGGCTGCGGCGTGATGGTTTGTTCTTCAACACTAACTCTCCTTCATCACATGGAAGACTCTTTATAATAATCATCATCAGTATAAACTTTATTTATTTTCCCCATTCATACAATCAAAACGTCGAGGGATGTTTTATTATGAGGGGAACGAGTAGACAAAGTGTTCACATGGAAATTAAGTTCAAAGAAAAACAAAGTTAAGAGTGTAAGAGTTAGATAAATAACATGAGATTTAAAATAAAAACCTTTTTAATGAAGATGAAAGGGTTGTGTTATAAAAATAGAATAAATAAATGAAGGTAATAACTACTGCCGTCAGCATTAGCTAGTTAATCCAGATGAATTAAGGTCAGAAATAAACACTTTTTTTAACACGATTAATCTCCTTCTATTTTGTCCCTTCAGGCTCACCGTAGATAGTCGTCCTCAGTATCTCCCTGTAGTCTCAGTGATGATAAAGAAGGACACTGCTGCATCTTTGAATGTCTCATTTCACTTTAACAAACTCTCAGACAGCTCAGCTGACGAGTCCAAAGTAATATCCCCCTTATGACATCACACGTTGACCTTTGTTACCGTTCCTTTGAACTGTCAGACCTCACTTTGGGATCCCTAACCACTTCCTGTTTCTGGGCTTAACTTCATGTCCTAACCGTCCATCTACAGGAAGCGCCTTACTTTATTTCAAAATAAAAGCAGGGTTGA